TTAAGTTGTATTAGCTTCCTGAGAATATGTAACCAAATTATATCAAAACCGAATATAAAACTTGCTAGTCAAATAAGAAAAGGAGGGAAAAGGCAAAAGAGAAAAGAGATAAACAGACAATAATGGCAATTATGGACACACACACCTCTAGAGGACAGACAGGGATGAGAAAATGAGGAAATGCTGGCAAAGATGGGGGAGGCCGTTCTGGCAGAGCAAGGAGATGCCCCGGCAGGGTGATGTCTTCACTCCGCCTTGTGGTTTCTTACACGCCGTGACGCAGTTTTCCCCTTAACACAGCACCTTAACTCTGGTTCGTTTAGCAGATTTGTGTGGTTCATAGCAGAAGCCTCTCTCGGCCTGGGGGTGCTGCGTGGGAAGTTAAATGCCCTGTGAATCCCGCTCCCCCTTCTCTCTCCTCAGACTTGTGACCATTCGTAGGACAGTCTGTGTCATAAACTCCCACTCCCCTTTCTGTCTCCTGCACCAGAGTGTGAGCTCCTGGGGTGCAAACTCCTTTCTCTGCGGACATCCATGTGTACGTGGGACAGGCAGCCAGACTGCGGGGCAAGGAGCTCCTCCTCCTCACAGGACCCTCCTGACACTGGTTTTCTTCATCTTTCCTTTTTTTCATGCCTGCTTCACTATAACTTCACCAATTATGCTATTAAACTTTCTCATCTTTGGGGATCACATAAGCCCTTGGTATCTAATTATGGTTTTAATTATTGTGATATAGTGAGTTATAAGAAATACACATCTGGTCATTCATGACTGAAAACACTGGGGGGTCTTAAAGGTGAAACGGGTTTGTCATGTTAATGAGGCACTTTCGGAGCCCCACCCACGGGCCGGACTGGGGATCGGACAAGAGCTCAGTCAGGCATGACGGCAATGGAGCCCTCGCAAGACCTGCGCGAAGAGCTCTGCTCTGCCTGCTCTGCTCTTTCGGATCCTGCTTCTTGGCCGGAAAGAGCCTCTGTGCTTGGGGAACCAGGCGCCTCCACGTGCCAGCCCCAGGCTCCACGAGGAGAGGGGCTCCTTTATCTGGGACCTTGTCCTGGGCATCTCTTCATCTGGCTGTTGACTTGTGTCTTTTATGGTGTCCTTTACTAAACTGGTAAACATCTAAGTGTTTTCCTGAGTTGTGTGAGCAGCTAGAGCAAATTAATCGAGCGCAAGGGGGAGGTCCTGGGAACCTCCAGTCTGTAGCCGGTGGGTCAGCAGCGCAGGGAGCTGCCTGGGGCTTGTACCCAGCATCTGGAGTCGGGGGCGGAGGGCAGTCTTGTAGGCCGGAGCCCTTAACCTGGGGATCTGGCGCCGTCTCCAGGCAGATAGCGTCAGAACTGAGTTCTCCAACACCCTGATGGCATTTGAGAATTGCCTGGTGTAAGTGTGCATGGAAAGACCCCTTCCCACACACTTACACACGTTGGCACCGGGTCCAGGAGCCTGAATCAAGCTATACTACTATTTCTGCTGTAATATTGTTACTGTTACACATGAACACAGGGAAGAAACACACCATTTGTTCTGGTGTCAGAGATATTAAAATTATTATAAGGTGTTATTTGCATATTTTAAAAGCCATTTGTCTGCCTATAACTGTGGCTCATTTTTCTATACGACTGCTTGTATTTCTCACTGATTTATTTTCTATGACAAGCAGTTTTACCCATTTTAATTCCAGAAAACAGATGAGAAATCCCCACATCAAATACCATTTGAACATTTATTTACAAATGGATTTCAGTCAACCAAATCATGACATTTTAAGTACTTTTAAGTAACAGTTATTAACCTTGCAGGTTAGACTGAAATGTCCATTTTTTTCTCAAAAATGAATTTCATACAGTCTTATGTCCAACATACACACTCTATTTCTGAGCGGTCCATTATCAGAGGGGCTGCGCCCCCACCATCCCCAGCACGACAGGCTGGGAGACTCCATTGACTAGGAGAGACACCGGTTAAAGTCAGCCTGGGGACCACAGTGAAAGTGACCGCTTCAGGCATTTTTAATCTCAAATATAGTTCCTAAGCTCCAGACGCACAGCCATAGATACATGCTTCCCAATGTGGTGTGAAGTGCCGAGGATCCTATAACCTGGGAATCCAGAAGCAATGCGGACTGACCCCGACATTCACCATGAGGACGCAGAGGAACAGCTTCCCTAAGCAGACTTCTGCCTCCCGGTGTCCATGGAGCGAGATGGCAGCAGCAGGTGTGGACCACTTTCTCCAAAGCCCTCTGATCCTCAGTCCTGACAACCGGCTTCCGCTTGGACCTTCATCTCTCCCGTTCGCGTTCCGCCCGACGCCTCTGTGGGTGCGGCCTCCTGCTCAGCATGTTCCTGTGTGGACTGTGACTTTTTTGGCTGGAAGTTCAGGTTCACTGGAACTTTGTGGGGATTTTTGAGGCTTGTGTTGGAGAAACCTTCCTTCTCAAATCACTTTACTTATGCCAGGAATCTGGGGCACTACCAACCTCAGTACATGTTAAGTCCCCAGGCACGTAATCTCTTTAGACATGCAGATGGTATGAACGCAGGCCACACACTGGCAGGAGGGGTGGCCCTCCCCACGCATCCTCAGAGATGTTCTTCCCTCCAACCAGACCCAGGGCAGGACAGCTTTCTAGGCAAAAACTATTTTTCTAGTTCCCTCCCTGAGAGCAAACTCCTTTGTGGTTCCTGGGTTTAGGGAGTCTCGGATCCAAATCCAATGAGCCTAAAGCTTTGCTCCAGGCCCACGTTCCTGCCTTAAAACCAGAACTCCTGGCCAACGGGGGTCAGCCCCCAAGCAGCCAGAGCCCCAAGTGCATGCACATTCTGCTCTGGCTCGAGAGGACTTCCTTTTGCAAGTTTAGTCATGTTTTAAAAGGTGTTCTTGTTTACATTCTAAGGGGCATCAAAGCAAAATAATTTCTAAAATTCAGTCTGTCATATTGCCAAAAATAGAAATCTGCAAGTTCTCTTCCCGGATACCTCACAAACCCAAAACTTTGGTAGTGACCTAACCCATCACCACCATCCCCAATTCCCCTTCAAAAACCAGTGACACCACTCCTCATCCAAATATTCACAACAGAAAAGCTGAGCATTTCTCCCTCTCGATCTTTCCCACCCATTTAACTCTTACTGATTCTAAGGTCTAAGTATCTCTTGAATTTGTCTCTTCTTCATTCTGGCTACCACCACCTTCGGAATTCATTACTTCTTTTCTAGACCACTGAAATAATCTCCGTTTCTGTGTTCACCTCCCTCAAATCCATGCTTTGCACAGCTGCCAGCATAACCCATTTAGAATAAACCTCTGACCATGTCACCTGCATGGTGAGTGACCTTCAGACTCATCGCCACGCAGGCAGGCCTCTCACTCGTGATGCCCTGAGGCCCTGCGGTTGGCCCTCTGTGCTGCAGTCATAACAGACCGCACAGCCTCTGCGTCCTCTGCCATCCTCAGTCCCGCCTCACCACAGCTACACTGGCCACCTGTCAGCTCCTTATCTTTCAGGTTACCATTCTCTGCCAGGAAACTTGCCAATTCTTAATACACCGTTTGTTCTGTCATTCTTGGTGTGCTTAAGTATTATTACACTTATTACTGTGTTGCCATCATTTACCTGCTGTCCCAATCAGACTGAATTCCTCTTAAGGGCAGAAAAAGTCTTACCTCTTAATCCACAGTGCCAACTGCATGAGGTACTTGTACTACCAGGTGAATGAACGTTATGTCCACGATGCCTTATCGAGTTGACTCCCACCTCTCAGGCCCTGCCGAAGTTCAGGCATCGTTCTGCCTCCAGTTGATCCACCTTCCTAATGCCACCTAAATTCATTCCGAAGGACAATTCTGGTCCTTTCCCGCTAATTCTCAGAAACCTCCTATTGCTGTTGGCTCCTGCCTCATTTTCTCTGCTGCCCCAACAGCTCACAGTGACCCACTGATTTTCCACTGGGACCTCTTGGCTCCATCCTCATTACAAACCTACCTGGGCAGGCAGCACCCAGCCAGTCTCCACTCTGACTTCTCAGTCACGACCTAACAAAGCTTATTAGCTCTAGACAGCCTCCCAGATCCAAAGCAGGACCTGACAGCGCCGGTGAGTACAGGATTCTCCTATCACCCAGGTACTGCCCTCCCCATTTCCACAGGGAAAAGCCTGTTTCAATCGCTCCATTTTACAGCAGTGATGTGCTACGGGCCAGGCAAGGCAGGGAGAAGTGACACTAAGTGGGGTGGGGGGGAGAGAAGAGGGACCACTGTCAATGGAGAATTCTAAAACAATACTAAAATTGACTAAAGGTCAGTCTGCGTTCTGTCACCAAGAACCAGCAAGTCTTAACAATGTAATAAAATATCCCTCCCTGAGACGGCAAACTGGACCGTCACCACCACTGCTCGGCAGCCAACAGCAATTCAGGCATCTCTCCCTTCTGAAACCTTTAACCCACCCAAAACAGAACTAATTCTTCCATCAATTCTCTTCCTAAACCCTAATATACATCTGAATCTCCTACAAGGCCATAAGCACATTAAGAGGAGTTTCTCTTTAACCCTCATCCAAACCTTCACAAACACATACACTCACCCTTCTGGCCAGCTCCCCTTCCGCAGCGTGCCTCAGCTGCCCCGTAGTCCTCCATGAGTACACGCGCCAAGTCCCGGTTGCTCTCAGTTGCTAGGAGAAAGAAATGGCGCACCTTACTCACCCCTTGGACCAGGCTAACCGCACAAAGAACATACTTTGATTTCCAACAGCAGGCATTGACGGAGCATTATGACCTGTGCACTCTCCTTGCTAAATACTCCTCTGCCCAGGGTAGTTCTTTCTTTCACGTGTCATTCTTCTTTGTATTAGTCCTGTGCGTCCAACTCGCCTCACTGCTAAGCCCCAGAGGAAATTTAAACACTCAGCCCTGTTTTTGAGCTGTAGACACAACACTCAGTTCTACTGAATAAAACTAGGGACAGTTTATGTAAAAGAATAGAATGCATTTTTATTATACAGCATTTTATTTTTTTAAAAACTTTATTTTCATGGAATACAATTTCACATTAGATTCCCACAGTGGGAAAAAACAATTACTTACAGTTTGGACAAGTAAAATAAACACATTTGAAGATTAAGTCTCAGTTTGGAATCTGGAGTATTTTGATGCTTCTGTAGGGGACCTATTCCCCACATGGCACTTCCCTACGTTCAGAAGCTCTCCAGACTCTTCCTCCAAGGATTTAGAAATCGGTAGTGTGAAGTATCAGCATTTCCTAATCTTAAAGTCTAGGGCATGGACCACCAGTAACTGAGCAGAGGGGGGCATTCCCAAAGATTAAACACTGCCTGATTTCCTACAAAGTCCTTACTTATGAATCAACAGTCTTTCCCTTTCTCCATCACGCCAAGGACGGATACAGAAGCTTAATCAGGTACTGATAGTAGTAAAGCTGAATTCCCTTTAAGAGTTTGGTAAGTTCAAAAGCAAAAGCTCGAATACAATGCTTAGTTACACTGTGAGAAGTCAGGAGACAATGCCGTTAGCTCAGAATACAGAACTCAGTCTCTTGATTTCCTGGACACAATCACTCTTCAAACTTTTCCTCAAAGATTAAATTCTAAAAATAACCAGGTGATTAGACTCGTCTCACCAACGCACTCATCATCTGTTATTTCCTCCTTGCTGTGAGCTGAATGGCATGGCAGCAAAGAGGTGTGCAACCGATTCTCAAAGCACTAAGTCAAAGGTCAGAGCTTCCACAGCAGGGCCACAGCCCTGCAGATGCCCACGTCGTGGTAGTTGAAGTAGCAGAGCCCAGCGAAGGTCAAAGCTGAGAGCGCCAGAATGCCTGCCTTGGCAGCCTTCTGCGCTGTGGCCCCTGGAACGTAGTCAGTGACAACCTGGCCAAGGCCCCTGAGGAAACAAAGCCATAGTATGAACAAAAAATCACAAGTGACCTAGGAGGCTATCCAGGTCTGCAAAACAATAATCAGGTTCAAAAGGCAGCTCACAGGAATAACAATCATAAACCAAAATGAAGGAATCAAGAGTTCCTAAGAATATAATATAGACACCTTCCTATTCTTCAGATTTAACATCCCTGAGTCATTTCTATCAGAGACAGTAATTGCTACTCTGTTCATACTGGAGTTTTTTTAACCTAAAACAAATGCTCTAGTTTTTCATTAATTCAAAAATAATTAATTAAGCAGTTAATATGTGCCAGAACCTGTTAAGATGTTGGGAGAATCTCAAGAGAAAACATCCACACCCTTACAGGACATCTATCCCAGCAGATAAGGAAGAAAAGTAGTGTGCTTTCCAGAAAGGACACCCTGAATGAGCACCGCGTTCCAAAACAAGTGACAATGACCTTAGTGTCCTTGAGGAACAAAGAATAGTGTGGCTGGAGAACACGAGGTCAGAAGGCAGGGGCAAATCACGCAAGGCCCTGAAGGCCCTGAAGGTCGTGGTAAGGAGTTTGAAGCTTATTTGAAATATGATGGAAACCATAGATGTGCTGTAAGTAAGGAGTGACCTAACTTTACTTTCAACAAGTTTTATTTAGATATAATTCACATGCCATAAAATTAACCTTTTTAAAGTATAAAATTCAGTAGCTTTTAGTATATTCAGAGTTGTGAGACTACATCACTATTTAATTCCAGAATATTTCCAGTACTCCCAAAAGAAATCCTGTCCCTGTCAGTCCATTACCCAACCACTGATTCATTTTCTGTCTCAAACATTAATTTGTCTATTCTTGACATTTATATAAATGAATCACACAATGTGGTCTTTGTTGTCAAGTTTCTTTCACTCAGCATAATGTTTTCAAGATTCCTCCTGTTGTAGCATGTATGGTTCTTCAATTCTTGGACAAGGGATATTCCTTTGTAAGAATGTATCACGTTTTACTTAGCTCTTCAGCAGCTGACAGACATCTGGACTGTCTGCATCTTTTGGCCATTCTAAAGAACACTGCTATGAGCAGTCTAAGATTTTGTGTAGGGATGTTTTCAATTCTGGGGGGTAGGCAGCTCAAAGTGGAATCACTGACTGGTATGGTAACTCTTTATGGTGTACTTGCCAAAACTGTTTTCTAAAGTGGCTGCAACATTTCTTTTGAGAGTGCTGAAAATATTCTGGAATTAGATACAAGGACTCCAACTTCCTGACATCCTTGAAACACTAGTTAATGTCCAATATGACAGCCACCCTAGCAGTGTGAAGGGGTGTCTTGTGGTTGTGACTGGCATTTCTGTAATGCCAAATGTGCTGAGCATCCTTGCATGTTCTATTGGCCCATTTGTTTATCCTCTTTGGAGAAATGTAGTTTTAGTTTTTAAAAAGATGTCTCTGGCTACAGTGTGGCGAATGGACAGTGCTGGCAGGAACAGAAAAAGAAAACTAGTTAGGAGGCAACTGAAGAGACCTAGACAAGTCTACCAGCTGAACCCAGGCTGACAGGGAGACGGCGGAAAGTGACAATTCAGGCTATGTTTTAGGAGAGAATTAACAGAAAGAGCTGATGGACTAGATGTGGGGTAAGACAAAAAGAAATATCTAGAATGACTCCCAGGATTTTTGGCTTGAGATACTAGACTTAACTGAGTTAGGGAAGAACAGGAGAGGAGGAGGTTTTAACGGGAAATTAAGAGACACTGGGGGCGGGGGAGTGATATGGGCAACGTTAAACTTAAGATTGCTATCAGACAGCCAGGTGGTTATGCTGGTTAGACAAATGGAAATGTAAGTCTGTGGGTCAGGAAAAGAGGTCAAATCTGAGCTCACCTTGGGAAAGTGTGTAGAGAACTTAAGAAAGGCAAGACCGAGTCAGAGGTCAGAGAAGAAGGAGCTAGCGGGGCAGACTGGTGGAGCTGCTGAGGAGGAAGAGAACAAGGTGAGTGTGGCACCTGGGAAGCCAAAGAGAAATCATCTAGAGAGGGAATGGTCAACCAGTGTGAATGCCCCAGAGAATTCAAGCAAGAGAGAGAGACAGAGACAGATGACTGGGTTTGGAAGAACGAAGGTCCTAGGTGACTCTGGTAAGAATGACTTCATTAAATAGCTGGGATAAAAGTCCAATGAATGTGGGTTAAAAAGAGACTGGATGCTAAAAAAGGAGAGAGTGGATGCTGAGGACTAGCGCACAATTAGACAACTCTTCCAAGTCACTGCGTGTGTGTGAAAAGTTAGAATCAGTGAAGTAGCTAGAGTGTCAACTGTAATAAATACATGTCACTTTAGAATGATCTCTTCTTCTGGCTTTTCATGGATTCAGATGGCTCTCCTTCAGGAAACACGTACTAGAGAAACACTAGCGTGCTGCGATCTCACACGCATCTGGAACCCTTCATTTCAGAAGGTCTATCTGTGTGAAGAGTAGTTCTCCTAACAACCCTAGAAACCAGGTAAGCAAAATCCCCTTTAACACCAGCTAGAAAAGTACTCTCACAAATCACTTAACCTCCCCAGGGCTTAGTTCCCACACCTGTAGGGCAACAGTGTTGGTTAAGGTACTCCCTTCAGTTCTAACATTCAAAATGACCACCCATTCAAAATGATGTCAAAGTGAAGACATCAAGTATCATATTGTCCTTGAAAAACAACATGAAATGAACAACTCAAGGACTGTCATTTACAAACTTTCTAGAAGGTTCATTAACTTAGAAAGTCTAACAAACTATACTGGATAAAATAAGTAGAAATTGGAAATTCATTCAACAAATACTTAGTGTCATGTGTCAGGTTCTATTCTAGGCACTGAAGGCACAACATTCAACAAAAAGTCAAAAACTCATGTCACATTTCTTCTTTTTAAAGGGGCAAGACTGAACTTATCGTGTTTAGTAACACACATTTAAGAATACAAATTAAGAAACTATGATGAACTGTAAGGAAGTGATTACTCTAAAAATCAGGATAACAGTTTCTGGCAGGGAAGGCTGAAGAGTTCTGACTAAGATAGAACACAAGAACTTTCTGGAGTAGGTGGCAAAGTTCTATTTTTGACCTGGGTGGTGTGACCCTTGCAATAATTCATTAATTCACAGGGTTGATTCTTGTGATTTTCTGTATTTGTGCTTTCATTCTAGTGAGGAGAGACAAGAAATATACTATATATAGATGATATAGTATTATTACAAGGTAATAAGAGCTACTGAGAAAAATAAAATAGGTGAGAGGGAGAAGAAATGCTGGGAAACATACTGCAATTGTGCAAAAGTGGTTAGAGAAGGCTTCATTTAGAAGGTGACATTTAAGATGTGCATAAAATGAGGGAACAAGCCAGGTATACAACTAGAAAGGACAGTTACAGGCAGAAGGGACAGACAGAATAAACCCTGAGGCTGGGAGTATCCCTGACATGTTTGAGAATTATCAAGGAGACAGGAATGAGAGCAGCTGGACATGAGGGAAGAAACAGAGCCAGATCACAGGAAGTCTGCAGACCACGCTAAGAATGACAACTTGTAGTTTCAGTAAGATTAGGTGACAATGAAAGTTTGAGAAGACAAATGTGTTGACCCACATGACTTAATATTTTAACAGGATCACTGGGGCTACTGTGTTAGGAACAGACAGAAGGGGGACTGCTTAGGAGACGACTACGGGTATCAAGATGACGGCTGAGTTTGGGGCCTGAACAAACAGAAGAATGAAAATGCCATTAATTCAGATGGGCAAGAGTATTGGAGGAAGAGAGCTGGGCAAGGTCAGAACTGTCCTGTAACATGCTATATTCAAAATGCCTATTAGATATGAAAGTGAAGACATCAAGTAAGCAAGGGATACATAAATCTGGGCATATATATGTTTCAAAGGTTTCTATAGGTTTTGGGTATCTCAGTCAACTTCTCCCTCTCGCACTACAATGAGACCAGTTCCCGACAAACAACATGAGCTGATAACACAATACTGAGGGGGCTGCTGTACTTGCCAGTGGCTATGGAGAGTGAGGGCTGCGGCCAGGGAGTAGTCCATCGCAGAGCAAGGGCTCAGATAAGCAGCTGGAAGGAGGCCCAGGAGCAGGGCACTAGCGACCCTCTCGGCAGTCCAGTGGACAGATGCAGCCCTGGAGCCGGCTATGGAAGAACGGCCAGATTCGTGAGAACTGAAGGGGAAAACACGCATCTTTCCCAGTCAACATTTGCCACAAAATAACCCAGACTGACAGAAGAGCAAACACTATGCATCTAACACAACACTGAACATAAACTGGGGAAGATAAAATAGGTAGTTGAAAGAAATGCTATCTCCTTTTTTCGAAGTCTTTCAGCACAGAAGTCTCAACACCTACATATACTGATTAGAAGACAGATCTACACTGCTTACAGGCAAGATGGTGGACAGAAGCTCTTTGCAGAATCACCAATCTTGAACTTTTGAGCATAAATTACTGACACCTGAAGAATTCCTTTAAAATATTACTCTTTTAGTTACACTATCTAATCTTTGGAAGTAAGGTAATACTAAAAATTCTCCCAAAACAAAATTAAACCAGCCAACTCAGAGCAGAGTTCTGATCTCAGCTTTTAGGAGCATGGTCTCCTTCTGTCCCACTACTTATAAACAGTCCAAAACAGATACGAAATATAAAATATCTTAAGGAAGTGAAAAACAAACTGGGCTTTAAACACGTCCTTGAGTGCCCCTGTTTTTGGTAACCTCCACTCCCCCTGGGACTCTGTAACAGGACGGGGCAGGGACACATACATTAAAAACTATGTAGATGGCTTTAGGGGCTTTGCTTCAGCCCCAACCCTCCACCCCCACCCCGTGAAAACCATTCTACTACATCTGCCTGAACTAAACCAAGGAATGCAGAAACAAAAATGTCGAGGAAAAAATGATTCTAAAACACAGAAAAACGATCCTTGCCTAATTTCTCCTAACCCAGATGCAGCTACATCTAAGTGGTTGACTTAAGAATCAAGAGAAGTCTTTATCTCTGTAAAATATTGCTTTTTCCAGACATAAAAATAAAAATACAGTTAACTCATTCACCAACAGACTTTCTAAGACTAATGTTAATAATACCTGAACAGTATTCATCTCAGAAATACCATAAGACTTTATTATCAATCTATATAAAAATAGGCAAGTCAATGGCAGCTAAGAATACACATGGCTCTCTAATTGTCTACCATTCCAAACCCCTTGTAGCTGGCTCCTCTCCATCAGCTAAACAAATAAGAATGACAAAACTATATTGAACAAACTCTTCCTAGAGCTATTTTCTTTTAAAAAAAATCAGAAATTTTAAAGAAAGACTTAGACCAGAAGGTACTCTGTGAGTGTAAACAGCATTATTCAACTGTGCTGGTACTGTCTGCCAAGAGGTAGGCTAGGCCTTCATCTGACAGCACTGGATGCAACCTGCCCCCACAGACCAAGTCCTGCCACCGGCAGTCGGCCCAGATGAGGGCGGCCAGAGCCCAGAAGGCAGCAGCTACAGAGGAAACATACAGTGGCAGCCGCGCGACAGGTGGACGTGCTGCGCTCCACAGCATCCGGGGGCACTGGGGTCCTGAAGAAATGCTGAGACATGAGCAGGTCTGATCACTGGGCTTCGGAGGGAAAGAGCTGAGGAAACAGACGTCGGGAGATTATTAGCACCTTTCCTCCAGCAGGACTGACAGACTTCCTAAATGACTACAGGCAAGTTACTTAACCCCAAGCAGAAGATAACATCTCATCTACACAATGAGGAAGCATCTATGGCACTGAGTTGCTGGAAGGTCAGACTAAGTAGCTACAGGAAGACTGAAAAGTAACCAACCATGTAAGTAAAAGAGCTTCACTCTCACTGATTTTAAAAAGTAAATTATAACTCCTTTTGCCTTCCATTTATTCATCTATTCATCCAACAAACATTAGTACATACAAGACTATATACTCTGCACTGGAGCATGAGAGATAAAAGACCTAATATTCATCCCCAAGAAATTCAGAATAGTTTGGGAATAAGACTTTCTATCATAGTCATCCTTTTCAAGATCAATTTCTCCACCTGCATTCTTGAACATATCCCTTTCTGTCCCCTTTTGGATCCTGTCTCTTCATTAAAAAATACACCTAAGTTCTGCCAGCTCCACCACTTACTAGCTGTGAGATAATGAGCAATTAAGTTAAGTAGGCTCTTTATACCTCAATGTCATCATTTGTAAAATTAAAGTAACAACACTAACACTCTGCTGAAAATCAATGTATGTAAGGTGCTCAGCATAATTCCCAGAAGCCGCAGCACTTAAAAAGGTCATTCCTCTCCTGTATCTTTAACTGCTCCTTCCTACCGGCCATTTCTCCTCACCGACGTGACATATTTAGCCCTAGGTCCTCTGTCCCCTAACTAGTGCCCTGGCACTCTTCCCCTGCATTTCTTCTCTTTCCAGCTATGCTTCTTTAAAGTGTTGTCCAAAGCACCTTGACGTCCTCACTTCGCCTCACTCTTCAAGTCAAGCCTGTTCTATCCCCACCAGAGCTGCTCTGCTAGGTCGCACCGGAGTCCGCGTGACCACATCCTGCAGGTCCGTACCGTTCGGCCTCCACGTCATGGGCCTTCCCGCACCACCGGGCACTGGCGGCTTTTCCGCCCTCTGCCAACGGAACTCTCTTCTGGTCCTCCCGGTCTCCTGCACTCACGCCCCAGGATGCCATCATCTGCCCTGCGCTCTCCTCCCTTCCTGTGCCCGCTCGGCGCCTACTGTCGACGGCTTGGGACACCCGGTTCTCTATCTACGGTCCTCATCTTTCTCCAGGGCCCACAAGTTTAGGTGCCCGCTGGGCTCCCCCCCCGACCCCACAGTCTTCAGATTCGCCAAGCCAGGAACTACAGCCGCCCTTCCGCTCACTTCCGGTCACCTTGAGCTCCACACTCCAGTAAGCCCCGGCGCGTTCCGTTCTCTCACCCCAAGCAGTCCCTACACTGCTTCGCCGCTTTTGCTCACCCCGCAGCTCGAACCCTTAAAAGGCACCGCAGGCGCACCTGCTTCGGACACCCAGACGGGGCAGTCCTTCCAAAACACCGTTCCTGGGGGCCGGCTTAGCAATGTGTGGACGGCACAGCACTTTCTGCTTTATGGTCAAGCCTGCTTATATGTGTTTTCCCTGTAAAAGTCAAAACTCTGAGGGCAGAACTGTTTCACTCACGTCTGAACTTCCGCTTGCGCGTGGAACCACACAAACGCACGGGGAAAGGCCTACCGAGCTGGCGCCCGCCCCTACACCGAGTCCGGGAAACGGGCAAGCCGGGCCCCGGGCCTCGGGTCCCGCCGCCTCCCGCCGCAGGGTGAGCACGCGCGGACGGCAGCGGGCCGCGGCCTCCGAGCTCCCACCTCACTCGGCCCGGCCCCGGCGCTCACTGCGGCTCTCGGCAGGGGCCACGGCGGCCGAGGAGGGGCCACGCCCGGGCCAGTCCTCCCCGCGCGCCCTGCCCCGCTGCCGGGAGCCCTCACCTTGGCCGCCTCGGACAGCGCCCAGGACGCTCAGCCTCCAGAGCAGCGCCATGTCGCTCCCGAAGGCTCAAGGTCACCCAGCGACCCGGAAGCAGTCACGCCTCCAAGCCGCGCCGCGGGGGAGGGAACGCGGAAACGGAACCCGCGACGCGCCCCGGAAGGCGGGTCGGCGTGCGCATGCGCCCGCTCGCCCGTCGGGGTCACGGGGCCAGCGGGCGCGATGGCGGAGCTGCCTGAGGCCGAGGAAGCGGAGTTGCAGCGCCTGGTGGCCGCCGAGCAGCAGAAAGCGCAGCTCACCGCGCAGGTGCGGGGGAGCCGCGGGGCGGCGAGAGGAGGGGAGGTACAGGCCTGGTCGTCAGGCTTTTTGCTCGGCCGGTGCAGTGAGGACAGGAAGAGCTAGCGGAGCTCCGCACGTGGGCGGCGCGGCGGGTTCCCCTGGCGAGAGCAGAGTCGTGGCGCGCCTGCCGCGGGCGACCGGTCGTGCTCAGGCGCCCGGCAGCTCAGCCAGCGCGGGGAAAAGAAGTTGGAAGGCAGAGGGGAAGGTGAGGCGACGCGAGGCCCCGGCGGCCGTTGGGCCGCAGACTCCGGGCCTACTGCCTCTCTGCCCGCCCCGGCCGCGGGCGCCTGGGCGGGGCGGCCTCGCCGTCGCTCGCAGGCTCCCTGGAGTGTGAGGATCCCGTGCGATGGTGTTTGAAGACGAGCGCGTCCCTGGAGGCTGGGCGCGGAGCAGGCGGGCTGCCCCAGCTGAGCTGGCTTCTGGAGCCCTTTAGGCGCGCTGCCCCCTCCGGCGTGTCCCTGGGCTGCACGACCTTGGGCGCGCCCCGCAAACGGAGGTGACGTCTTTTGGGGACCGCAGAAAGGAAAGACTGCTTAGTACCCAGCCTCCCAAATAGTAAGCCCTCGGTAAATGGTTGTTTTTTCCCGTTTTGGGAGGGAAAGGATTCGCTGCTAGGTAGCAAGAACCTGCTTAGAAAACTTGGGGTCCCGAACGTTATGAAAGTGCACACCTTTTCTGTGCCTGTATATGCACTTTTTGTGGAGCGTGGATGCATAATATTCACTGGATTCTCAAATGTGCCCATGATCCCCAAAAGGCTGAGAACTACGTCTTTAGGATCAGGCTGGGAATGCCGTGTTTGGGGGGCGGTTGATTGGCGGCTTACCCTGGTGCTCATGTGGGAATACGGAAGAAGGTACTGACCCTGTTTGAAAATGTACGATCTAATTAAGGACTGGACACTATTAGGAAATAATAGTGGCCGTCAAGGAGGTAAGAATTTGAACTGTTTTGAAGAATGGGAAAAACCTTTACAGCAGGCATTCCCTGAGTATTGGGCCGAGTCGGTGTGCTGTGTGGACCTCGCGCAACAGCACGGGCAGTGGTTCAGTAAGAGTGAACCCAGAGCGGCTCACAGAGAAACTAAGCAAACGGGTGACTTGAGGGGAGTATTTCTTAATTAGTAAAGAGAACAAAAGTAGAGGAGGAGGGCATAAAAGGACTGCTGCAAAGTGTACGGGTGAGGGCCTGGGCTGTATTGGTGACAAATTATCAAGTGAGGGAAGCCCGTGACCTGTTGATTGAAAGGTGACAAAAATGAAAATGGGATGGAAATAAAATTGGCAGTTGGGCCTGTGTGCAGACCCAAATTGTTACCGACTTTCTTTCCTCTTAGGTGCATCACTTCATGGAGCTGTGCTGGGATAAGTGTGTGGAGAAGCCAGGCACTCGCCTAGACCCTCGCACTGAAAGCTGCCTCTCCAGTTGTGTGGACCGCTTCATTGACACTACTCTTGCCATCACCAGTCGGTTTGCCCAGATTGTACAGAAAGGGGGGCAGTAGTTCGCCCTCTGGGAGAAGACAGCAGCCAAGAACTTGTTATTAAGCAGATTGAAGAGCCAGTGGGGTAAGGTTGACTCACTGTCAGGTCAACTTCAGGCTACTGCCATCCCTTTTGGTGCTAAAAAGAAACAGATCAGATGTTCAAAAAATGAGTTATTTATTTGGAATTCAAAAATTCTTTGTTGTATCACAACAGTTATTCAATAAATGTGAAGTCCAACTTTTTTTTTTTACTACCATTTTAGGATTTAATATAGAGGTCTCTAGTTGGCAGGAACACTAGAAATAGGTTGTTCAAGGCCAGTAGTGCACATGGGAGATCTTAACGTTTTGAAGAGACCTTAAGTCAATTTAAGGGGTCTGGAAGAACGATCAAAAGCCTTAGCCTAAGGCATAAAAGAGAATTTGGGGTTGAAAAGGTAAACAGAAAACAGCTTTATTGCTAATAACATGACCAAGAAAAGGTAAACACGGCAAAGAACAAAACAGGCAAGTGTGTATTCACTGGGAAAGAGGCCTGCCAGTAGCGAAGAAACTTTCTGGAGATGCCTTGTTCCATTGGCCCATCTTCCCGAGTCTGTGCTTTTAGAGCCCAGAAACAGTGCTCAAGAAGTATGTGCTGAAAACTTAAGGTTTCACTTGCTCCCAGAACAAAATTGCTTTAGGTTAAGAGGTAGTAATTATTGACTGTTCTTCCACCCTTGGGCCCCTACCAATCCCAAAGATAAAAATATACACCATGGAACACTGACAATTGAGTACCAAAGTCTTAGTATTTCAAATAAATATCCCAAAGGCAGCACCTGCTTACAATCAACGATAGGGAACCTCTGGCCAAGCACTTATGACCAAGCATTTTACTAGAATTCTGTTCTGTAAAGAGGACAGATTCAGTACAACTAGAGAGTATTACCACCGCGTGGTGTTGTCACAGTTGTATTCTGCTGGTGTCTTACACTGTCGTGCCACCATGAAGTGTGTCTGTGTTACCCTTGAGGAAAGTAAGGCCAAGGAGGGTGACTCACCTGCTCCGGACCTCATGACCAGTCGGTGGTAGAACCGAGCCCAAGAGTCTTGAGTTGCCAAGCTTTGGCCCACAAAGTGACAGCAGAAAAGAATGATACGTCACTTGATACTCTTGCCATAATGAGAATATCCACTTGTATTCTACCAGCCTTCTTTTAGTGATACTTTGTTTTCCTAAGAATGAACACAGTAGGGATCACAAGTGTAAAGCAAAGGGAAGCGATGGGGTCTCTGGTGCTTAAAGGGCAAATGGGGAAGAGGTGGCTGTGTCCCTGAGAAGCTTGTTTCGTTTTGGAGTTGATTCGACCTAGTTTTCAGGGAGAATCATGAATGCCTGAACAGATTCAGAAATGAACAAGGAGGATGACATTAAATGGCAGTTGCTGTCATGAGTCCTGCTCGGAGCACCGTCAGACAGCGGGCCTCACTGCTGATTCTTCCCCATTTGAGGCCTTAACTAAGACAACTGAAGAAATAATTTTACACACAAGTCCATTTAGGAAATACATAGTAATGGAACTGAGAAACTTTACTAATTACCACGTTCAGGGATATACTGAGTGTAGACACAGACCCTGTCCAGCAGAGAAATTTGACAGAAAAACCTTGTGTCTTCTAGTAACAGCTGTCTGGATGTTAACATGAAAGAAAAAAGGTTTGTTCTTAACGCTCATTTCCACATCAGGTAAACTGAACCACACTGTGGGGCCAAAACACAGCAAGACAAAAGCACCAAGGCCAAAGGGAAGCCGAGTCATGGCTGCTACATAAACGGATGAGACACAATGTCCCACACCATTCCACACAGCACCGGCTCCAGTCCACTTCGATGCCAGCCCTTTCCCCAAATTTAGCATTCCAACTAGTGTACCCAGGCCATTACTGGATTCAGCTTTCTGGGTCCTTTAATTGGCTATATGCGCTCTATGCTAAATGTTATTAATTGCAAAAAATAATCTCTCCAAGAAACCTTCATAACAAAAATACCAGATTCCCCATTAACAAGAAGAGGATCAAGTTTAACAGGCCACAACAGGATACAAGAAGTCTGTCAGAATGTGCACAGATGGCGGGGGATAGCTCTGACCTCAGACGTGTGCCGAGCAAGTCACCTGAGGTGAGAGCTGCAAATACCAGAGTCGGCTGGGAGACAAGAATGTTCTTGTCTAGTCATCGTCTGAACTCTCGGCAGACCTCTCATCCGTAGCCACCTTCCAGTCCGTGCGTCTGCTGGTCCTCCCCGGGGCTTCGCTGTTCACTGCTGGAACGCGGACTTCTTTCCCTTTTTTTTGCCTTTCAGATTTCTGAGTGTCTCTGTCCTCGCTGTCCTCAGAACTGCTGGATGCAGAGTCATCTGACTGGGGAGTGTCACTTTCTGCCTCTACAAGTAAAGCAGATTTTTTGAGAGACTTTTTCCTGGATTTTTTCTTGCGTTTAGGTGGTTTCCTTTTTTTGGCACTAGAAGCCCCAGTTTCTTCTGAGAACTCACTTGAGGAATCTGCTGTTACATCTGTAGCTTCCTTTTTGCTTTTTTTCTGTTTTTTGCGTGACTTTTTTTTCTGCTTTTTTTTGTGTGATTTCTTTGACTTCTTGTGTTTGTGAGATTCATGGGAAGATGGTTTTATCTGGGGAGATTTTTTTTTTCCATTGGTAATATCTTGCTGATCACTACTAATAAAAAAGAGAGGGTGCTTTACTATAGAAAATGAAAAATGTGCATTTTAATATACTGTATTGTAGACAGGAAGTTGGAATTAACATTTCAGATGTAAAACTTTAAATTAGACCTTTGACAAAGGGTTGCTCTTAAGACTTTATCACTCGAGTTTTTGTTTCCTCTTTAAAATGAAGATAAAAATTCTAATCTACCATAATGAGTGACTGGACAGAACACTATACATGAAACCGAAGTGCTGTAACTGCTGAACACCACCAGGGAGAGGCCGAACACCAGTCATCTGCCAACTAACTCAACTACTAATTCTAGTATTTCCCAACTATTATTTCTCTAGTTACGTTTTTAATGACAAGTGTTACATCCTTTGTAAAAATTAGGAACTCAATTTATAGTCAGACTTTGTACTAATCTTAGTTTCTAATTATTTTTTCCGTAAGCCCATTTGCCTTACCTGTCTGTTTCAAATTCTTCAGGGTATAATTCCTTATAACCACTGTGGCCCCATCTGGAAGATGACATTTAATAACACATACTGTTAAAGAAGTGTGTACATTTGTGAAAATTGAACCAAATTAGGCAGGAATGCACACACAGAGAACAAAGAAAATACAGACATGGTAGAGCCCACCCCAGGGATTTCAGTAACTTAGCTACATTTTCTGTACTACTCATTACCATTTCAGACACAAAGGATTTCTTTGTCCATTTGTGAAAGAACTTGGTGTTCTCACTAAAGAACTCTTACACTCTGCTCTTTAGCAGAGTGAAGTACTTCAAAAACAATAACAATGCTGTCTACATTGGGATAATTTTTTTAACTAACTATTGAGATGTAATTGATACACCATAAAATTCACCCTTTTAAAGTGTACGACTTAGTGGCTTTTGATCTATCTATTAGGAGGTGTGCAATCACTACCATCCAATTCCAGAACACTTCCATCACCCCAAAAAGGAACTCTGCATTGGCATCTCTCTCCACTCCTCCCCCTCTTCCTCTGGCCCGTGGGAACTCCTGTGCTTTCTGTCTGCATTTGCCTGTGCTGGACCCACTAGACAGAATCACAGAGTAGCCTTGTGTGTCTGGCTTTTGTCACCTAGTATGGAGTTTCATCCATGTTGTAGCATGTATCAGCACTTCTATTCCTTTTTCTGCCAAATAACAGTCCACATAGGGTGATCCCCCCTTACCCAGTTTCGCTTTTGTAGTTTCAGTTGCCCACAGTCAACCAGTCTGGAAGCAGATGATCCTGCTCCTGACGTATCACAAGGTCAACTATAGTCTAAAGCTAAGTCACAGTGCTTACATCATTCACTCTCTTCATCTCATTACATAGGCATTTTAAAAAACATCTCACATCGTAAGAAGGGTGAGTACCCTACAGTAAGATACTTTGAGAAAGCATAGTCATGTACATTTTATTACAGGATATTGTTATAATTGTTACTAATCTCTTACTGAGCCGAATTTATAAATTAAACATAGCTATGTATGTACAGTATACACAGGGTTCCATATACCCATAGTTTCAGGCATTTGCTGGGAGTCTTGGGAGGTTTCCCCCATGAATAAGGAGGGACTACTATACCACATTTTGGTTATCCTTTCTTCAGTTTATAAACAAAAGGGTTTCTACTTTTTGGCCATAATGAATAATTATGCTATGAATATTTATGTACAAGTTTTTGTAGGGATAATTTTTTTTAAGTACACACTTTGAGACCAAATATTATTAATGGTCACAAGAATTTAGTCACAGACCTGTCTGGCATGTTAGCTTCATAATCATATAACTTCTTGTTCCAGGACTTAGCCTTAAGGAAATCATCTTCTAGTGCCCCAGAAATTTCATTCTTTGGCCTCCAATAGTCTCGTTGACTTTCTTCATCGAAACCATCACTTCGCATCCGGCTTTAAAAGAAAACAAGAACTTTCAGATTGAGACACAATCTGTGAGGTCACTTTGTGGAACATGGAAAAAGCTCACTGAACAATCTAAGGGGAGAATAAAATGACCTGATACTTAAGGTTTAAAAAAATCATGTAAAAAGATACATCTGTTCTTGTAGGTATGTACAGTAGTCCAATGAAAATCTGACCATTACTACCCAGAGTATCAACGAAATGATTCATGGCCTGCGGTGTGCTATAGCTCACTCACCGACTCTCAACCAGGAGGGCACGCAAAGAAGGAAGCAGAGCACAGTCACAGCTGGGGACATGTCAAACTGCCCTAGAGATTCTGATACACACTCCCCAAAAACCAACAACTCGCTGCAGTGAGATCATAGCGACTGGGAGCAAGGCCTGACCCATGAGTATGCCTGGCCAGAGAAACAGCTGAGAACCACTGATCCAGGCTGTGCTCACGATGTCCACTAACCAGTCACTAAGCCAGCAGATCAGTTAGCAGAAGTTTTTAAGGGCTTTTTTTGTGCCAGGTGCTGTTCCAGCTGCTGGGAATATAATAGTGAGATAGTCATAATCTCCTCCCCCCACTTAAAAATATTTATTCACTATGACAGGCTCTAACTGTCTCGTCTAAAAAAACACTTTTATTCCTGTAAATGTCACTGGGAAAACAAATCACCTGCAGTAACTGTACTTATAAATTCCCCAAGGACCATCTTCAGACAGAAAACAGACTGAAAAGACACTTCTTTTTCTGTTGAGACTCTGCTGCCTTTACTGCTGATACCCGAATGCTTTCTTGTCTGAAGCCAATTCCACAAACTCCTCAGGCACCCACCCACCACCACCAAAAATCTCACTATTTCCCCTGGGTAGCCTCCTTAGAAATCAGCATTATTAATTTATAGTCATTTTTCATACACACAGCTTTCCATTAACAGGCAGGTGAGGCCCAAGAGATGTTGCCAATACTCAGACATTGCTACATCTCCACAGGTAAGACACCACTGCCTGCATAGTCCTTCAAACTTACACTCAAATTACTAAGAAGGTAATGTGAAAGGCTGTGTGACTCCGGGAAGACAGTGAGTAGAAAGGGTATCAAGAAGCCTGAGGGAGAATGAAAGACTAATGGGGGAAAGGAGTGAATGATCAGCTAAGTGACCACAGGTATGACACCAATAGAAAACCTTGTTAAAATCCACCAGGCAAGATCAGAATCCACAGAATCCTTAACCTTTACAGTTGTTCAAGGTAGAATTTTCCACTGCAAATAGGTCCAAAAAGTGGGGGCATCATAGTCACTACCTCTGTATTCAGGTGTAGGTTTCTAAAGAGGAAAGACTCACGGACTCATAGAACCAAACCCATCTACCTTTAGCACATGTTTTTAAACAAAGGTGATGATTCTGAATAAGGTAAGAATCTGTTCTCAGAGCTGCAACTTCACCTTGAGCTGCTGGGTGACATTTTCCTTTTGGTCCCCCGGTAAGCATCTTCCATCTGTCTCTCCAGCTCTCTTATTTTCCACATATCTGACTCCTCCTGAATCTAGATTTTTTTTTTTAGAGGAAATAAAAATAAGTTACTAAAAATAATACTTGACATCACAAAAAAGTAACTGAAAATGCAGTCTGCATTAATTACTGGATGATAGACTAGGTGATGATCAAGAACCTGGGAAATAAATTCTGGTTTCTCCAGCATGGTTGAGCAATCCAGCCCAGTAAGTCTCAAATATGTAGAATTCTGCAGCAAAAGGAGAACTTTTTAACCTGGAACAGACAGACTAATCGCCTCATCAATACTGCAAACACGCTGGAATTAGCGAATGACAGTCCTTTGTGTTTCTGCATTATTTTAATTGTGTCACCTTAATCTCATGAGGAAAGCAAAGATGCCATGACTACATTTTACTGGGAAGAAACAAAGGCTCAGCGATTTTTAACACAGACAAAAAGCTGTAAGAACAGGTCTTTAAACTTTCTAGGCTAAGTGTCTTCTCACATTACAATTTTTGTCAAAAACAAAGCAAAGCAAAATAAAACAAACAGTATGAGAATTGTTAGAATTTCCTGAAAAGCAGACCACAATTGCCCAGAGAACAAGAATACATTTTATTTCTAAGTACTCCTGTAATATTTTATTAAATCTGCACTAGATTTATCTTTTTTAGCTGCCACTTTCAATTCTAAGCTTGCCGTCCCACTGGAGGGGGGTTTGATGCACTTGCTGAGGCCACTTAGGTAAGAGTCAGACCCCAGCCCACAATCACACCAGGTGATATGACAGTAATAACGTTTATATCAAACTAGAAGTTGTACAGTTCACCAGAGAACACCAAACAAGGGCCCTTGGCCCTAGATGTGCTCTCCTAGATGGCCTCATCTACTCATGACCTATCATTTCCTATATATCAATAATCCCCAAACCTTTAAGTTCAGCCTCAATTACTCTCCTTTCCTCCAAGTCTGTGTCTCCAACTCACCTCACCATCAATGTGTTCAAAACCACACTAATTAAGTTTCCCACCATACTGCGCCTTTTTTCTTCCATATCTCAATTAATGGTAGCATCATCAGTCACAAAGGTGGTGATATTTGATTCATAATATCACTATCCTTCAATCAGTCACCAAGCTCTTTGGATTCCATCTTCGTCCTGTCACTGCTTTCAAACACCTCACTGTCTCTGTCCCAGAACACTGCAATCGCCTCCTAATTGGTCTCTACTGTAGTTTCACCCATCTGATCTGTCCCAAACCCAGCATCTTTCTGACTACAAACACAATCATGCCACACCCTGCTTTAAAATATTTGATGCTTTATTATCTAGAGGAAAGTCTAGTTCAAGCATCAGAATCCAACTCTAACTCACCTCATCTTCCTGTCACTACCCCCCACATTCCCTACTTTCTGGATGCACACACTTTCTGGTTCTGCCCCAAGGGCTTCATGCTCTTTCTGGTTGCCATTAGTTAGAGGGTGTTCTATGTGTCCAGAATGATCTTTCATATCTGGTAAACTTGAACCTTTTCAATAAGGACTAGTTTGAGCATCAGCAGCTCAAATACCACTCATTCCGTGAAGCCTTTCCTGATTCCCCTGGCAGATTTCATTACTCCTTCCTGCACTAAAGCACTTTTATACGTCTCTATAATAGAACTTATCAAACTGTATCCCAATTATCTATTTTATGCATCTTGGTATCTCCCAACTGTACCAAAATAATGCTGGGCACTCTGTATGCCTTCATGAGGTGCTGATGACAAACTAGGTTGTACCTCCCACCTTATTGTGAGCATCTGTGTGCCGGATGACATTCCTCAGGAGGACTTTCCCCAGTGGGACCCGGGACATTCTTCAATCTGAAATGAATCCATAACACTTAATAATAGTTTCCTTTATTACTTTAGCTTTTATTACATTATCAAGGTAAAGAAAAGATCACTGAACTAGACGTCAGAGGTCCTGAGGAATAGTTTTCCTACCACTATTGAAAGGGGAAAATACCTACCACACTCATGTGAGGCTAAAAGGAGATAACGTACACTGGAGTTCTTTGAAACTGCACAAAATCACGTTCTTTCAAGAGTACCATTTTATTTAATCCTCAAAGTAACTGTGTTTCATATGAGGCAGGTATCTGCATTCCTTATTTTGTAGATTCAAGTCCTTTATAAAGCTACAAGCTGCCCCAGGCCACACAGTCTAAGGCAAACTAGGTCCAGATTGGAAATCAACTCTCAATCCCCAAATTCATTTCTGATGAAGCAAATATCTAAGTTTGAGAGTCAGGGACCACAAATGTCAACAGTAACAAAAACTGAGACCTAGAAACACCAAATGCAGAGATGCTCTAAATTTCTCCATTCGGCGGAATTTTGTTTTCTATTTTGTATAAAGCCTCCCAAAAACGGATGTCAGGGATATTCACGTGTGTAGCCAGCAGAGGCTTTGTGCACCGACCCCTCCGCTCACTCACCCCTCGATCCTGGGGAAATCGGGCATCTTGTTAGTGTGAGACGAAGAACCACTCCATTACAAGGTCTCCTCCGACCCGGGAAGCCAAGGGGTCAAGGCTCAAAGGCAGCTCTGCAGCTTCACCCGAGTCCTTCGTGAAAACGCAGCCTTCCCGCCGGTTATTCCGCCCTCCCCGCGCCCAGGCCGCGCCGTCTCTCCCCGGCCAGCCCGGCGGGCGGCTCTGGCGGCGTGAGGCCGGCGGCGCCGGCGCGGAGCTCGGACTGCCGGCCGGGCGCGGGCAGCCGCGCGCACGCCCCTCTGGGACGGCCCGGCGCTCGGCTCCGCTCCCCAGGCAGGACGGGGCGCTTCGGGCGGGCGCGGCCCTCCACCGGGCCCCCACGGAGTCGCTGGAGAGCCCGGGGGCGGGGTGGGGCTCCCCGGGGAAGGCGGCGCGGACACCCCCTCCCGTTCCCGGGATCCCGGCCCGCCCGGCGCGCGCGCGCGCGCGCACACACACACACTCACACACACAGACACACACCCGCGTACCGTGCGCCGCGGCCTCGCCGGCGGGACAGGAAACGGCTTTCCTCCCAGGCCGGAAGTGATGCTCCCAAGAGAGTCCTCCCGCGGACGCGGCACGCGGGGAGTCCGGCAGGAAGGGCGGCCAGGCCACTCCGGAGGTCGCCAGGCGCCGGAAGGGGCAGAGTCCGGAACTGGATGTGAAGAGGTCTTTCGGCCTGGAGCTTTCCGGACCCAGTTAGAGGCTGTACCGGCCCGGTTACCCTGGTAACAGGCGTCGCCGTGTGTCTGGGAACCTCCAGAGGTGGGTGCGCGGACCTCCGGGGGGACTGTGAGTCTAGGTACCCGTTTGGCCTACGCCTGACGTGGTATCCGAGGAGCCCAAGCCTCCGCTTTGCCCGCCGTGCGAGGGGCGGGCGCCTCTCCCGGCAGCGGCCCCCGAGCGCTGCCGCCTCTGCCCGAGTTTGCCGGTCCTCACAGGGACCCTTGAGGTCGGGACTGTCGCCCTCTCGAGAGGGTGGGCAGCGGCACGTACGTGCATTGGCTGCGCAGGGCCGCCACCCGGGACAGAGCTGGGACCCGGTGCGGGCGCTCTGGCTCCGGGAGCCCCGCGTTCACTCCCAGGCCCCGCGCCGCGCGCGCCTCTGGCAATTTCGGGGCCCGACAGGCGCCGTCGGCCGCTACCCTGGAGTCGGAACGAGAAAATCACTAGGAGACCCGAAGTGAAAATGACCACCCTGCGTCCCCAGGGCTTGTGAGGGTCCAGGCAAAGGTGGGCCCTCGTTACCTGGGAGGACAGCTCGGGAATTTAGGAAGGGGCGTGGGTGGATGTGGGACACGGCCAAGTGGTGCTGGCCCAGCTCTGAATGGGCGGGACAGAGGCTCGCCTCGCCGCAGTTCCGGAGCTGTTCTCTGGGTCCAAAAGGAGAAACGAATCGTTAGTCTCAAACTTTCCTCCCTTTGACTCTGTTTTTCCACAGACTTAGGAGGCCTGCTCGCCTAGGCCATGCAGTCACCCCCAAAGGGTGTGCTCACCCAGGTCACTCAGCTCTGGAACCTGCTGGATGATCTGGCCGAAAGTAACCCCGAGAGCTATCGGAAGTTCATCGAGCAGCAGCTGGCCCAGGGCAGCCGGCTCCCGGCCGAGCCAGAACCGCAGCTCTGTCTACAAACCAGGATCCTGGTGTGCACACCCTGTGCCGGGCTGGGGCGGCCTGCGTGATGGTCCTGGGCCAAACGGAGTAACTTACCGTAGCTATTTTGACACAAGAAAGCTTGAGGGAAACTGCCACTCAATCTGGAAGATGAAACTGTGGAAGATCATGTTGAGGAGCAAGAATGGAAATTCATATTTGGCATATTTTAGAGACCAAAAAAGTAGTGAGCCATTTTTGCTGCTAGAATGAAAATAAAATGTAATGATTATATTGAGAATCATAGAGTTGGAGATTTTTTTCAAATAGAGAATTTATTTGGTTGGGGGGTAATAGTGGCGAAATAGGGTCAACCAAATCCACTTAGAGCAGCTGCTTAGATTAACCCCCCACCCCAGTTTCTCTGGGAGCAGCAACCAAAAGCCAGAAGCTCTGGGGAAATCAGGCAGCAGTATAATTTCTCAAACACAGTTTTTCTATGTGGAATGACTTACCTGGAGCCTAAAATTCTCACACTTCAAATTCTGTGATGAGTTGCCTTTAGAATTTTTTTTTTAAAGCTAGGTTTTAAGATAATGCAAAATTACTTGTTTTCTAGAAACCAAAAGAAAAAGTACTTTTTATCAATCTGTGTCAGTGGAAAAGGATCCCAGCTCCCCAGTCAACCAGTCATCCAGTACCTGTAAGTGTGGGGAGACCAGAAGATATATCTGAGGCACCAGGTACATGAAATTATGGGAAAGAAAGCACTTCCAAAAGTTGTATTGGGAGTAAGCATGGACCAGATTTTACTTTGTAAAAGGCATTACAAGTAAAATATTTTATTTGGTTATAATGTAGTTAATGACTGATAAGGGTTCCTTTATGCAAATTGAATACTATTTAGTTTTTCTAATAATAACCCATATAAAAATGTGAAGAAATTCTCTAGAGTTTTGTGTATATATATCTATATGTATATAGATATATGCATAATTTTACATTATAATTTTGTGTGTATGCACTATTAGGTTTGCCTCTTAAAAATACAGGAATAGATAAAATAACAAAGAATTTGAGTGAGCCAAAACATCTGTAATTTTTTGTGCATGCTATAATTATAATATTTCTGGGTGCCAAAAAAAATACAGGAATAGAATTTATACTTTTTATCTTTATCAGGATTATGACTTAATATATTACCTGATAAGATCATTAGTGAAACAAGTTGTCTTCATTTCACACCCTCTGAATTACACACACAGATGTTTATACAGTTATCGATGTTGCCTACAATCCTGGTGTTCTCCAGGCGGCAGGAAAGGACCAAGGGAAAAAGGATCAGTTAATACGAATGGCCATGCAATGCATTGAGGAACAACTCCAATATACTCTCTCATACTCTTACCATATTACCAAATCTAGAATAAAAGGAAGTATTCAAAGAATGAAACACAATCTGATGGGAAACCAAGCTGACGCCACAGATTTGAGAGGGAAAATGAGAAAGGGTAAGTTAAGTAAGGTTAGTTGACTTTTCTAATTAATAGAAAAATATTTAAAGATATATTAAACATAAATATTAAATATAGTATTAGAAATGCTAGCATGTCATTAAGGATTTGTAAATTCTGCAAGTTTTTAAACTAAATTCTTTCATTTAAGTTTCTTTTGATTTAAGATTCCCAAACTAATTTAGTTGCAGCTTTATCTGCCACCTCAGCTGACACTACCAGTGTGACAGCTCAGGGCCAGATAGTATTTACTGTTGACTGGTTTTGTGATTTCATCCCCTCCTTTTTTTCATGAAGAACTAACCCTTGAACAGATAAGAAGCAGTACTGTGAGCAATCCTCATCACTTCCCACAACTTTTACTACCAAAAGATCAAGTTTCAAGCAAAGCAGGGTGTCTGATAGAAGAGATCTCCAGCAAAGACATCCAGGCGGAGATGAAGAAACCAGCTCATGAATTAAAAATTGTGGTGGATCAGAATGAGAAGCCTCTGAAAATTGAATTAAAAGTTGAATTACCTGGTGTTAATTCAGTATCTCTCTGTGATCTTAGTGTTTCTGAGGTAAGTTGAATAGGTAGTACTATAAATTCGTATCACTCAGCAGTCATTGTATTATGTGGTAGTGACAAATGCCACAGTCCTAGTGGCTCAGAATAATTTGCCCAGGTCGCATGTCAACTAGGCCTGCTCTTTCCACTGGTATTGTACATTTCAAGGTACAGGTGAAGGAATAATTCCCATCCGAGATATGCCACTCCAATGGCAGAGGGAAAGTAGAGATGTTGGAAAGAACATGCACTGAATCCTAGCCTCCCTCTCAGACCTGGCCTGTGTCACTTACTCTGCTGGCCAACATAAGTCAAAAGGCCAAGCCTCTCAGTAGGGCTGGCAGGAATATTCTGCTCACAGGAGTTACATGGCAGGGATGTATGATCCTCTTACAGAAAATGAGCAAATAATTGGCAACAATCCATATTATACCATGGTCCAGCCCCGTGGTTACAAATATTTCTTTCCTCAAAGAATACACCTCCAATTCAGTATCAGACTCCAAAATGCAGGATTTTGCCATCACCTGCTTTCTGCTCTTGAACTCCAGACCTATGAAATACAAAGACAAGTTCTCTACTCCCTTAACCCCTTGCACCATACAGTGTGGCAAGGGGAGAGGGTAATTGTAATTAAGCCTCAATTCAGAACTGGGGAAAACGGGAGGCACACAGCAGTTACACGGCACTGCGATTCCCGAAGCCTGTAGGCCAGGGCTGCGAGGGTGCCCTTTCTGGAGGTAGAGAATGTTCTTCCTTAGGTTCCAAGACAAGGTTCCCTGATTATCTAGCCCCTCGTTCCATTGTTTTCCATGACTTTCAGTTCCATTCTTTGGGTTTTTTTTTTTCTCACTGTCCATCTTGGATACACCTGGAAATAGCACTGGAGAATGTGGGTGCTGAGCACCTTACTCAGCTATTTTGTGCTCATGGTATGTTGGGGCCCAAGTTATTTTAAATTAGTTTTAATCCAGGGTGGTAGTATTTCCTTTCTTTGAACTCAGTCCATGCTACACTGGGGCGTCTTTTGACTTAATTGCTGTACTTTGTGCCGTGTGTAAGGATTTACTGAGAGCCACTTTCATCCATTTAGAGGTTAACAAAGGGTTTACAGACTGATTTAGTCTTTGCCTCTAGGCTGTCTTAATCTGCCTTTGTTGATAAAAAAAAAATACCTCAATGTTTATCCTTTACTGTTGAAAATAAAAATTTGTCCCATTTTTCAGTTCTTAGAATTTCTTAGCTCTGTATATTCCCTTTCGATTCTACTCACACTGGGAAATTTTTTTCTAAGCTCATCTCTTTGTTTTTTTTGTAGTACTTTGTTAACTGTAGCCAGTAGAATTAATACATGCTTATCAATGTGCTATTTTCCTGCATCTTACTTAAAGCCACAAAAAAATATAGGTACACTGTCTTCTAAGTTTTTGACAGTTTTACTAAGGGCTGTATCACTATAAAACGTGCAGCACCATCTTCCCAAGCTCCAGTAAGTCTCCTCGCTGTCTGCTGCTCAGCCTAAATCAAATGACACATCATTCAGGACAGCAACACCCATCTTCTGTTCTGTATCAATTACCCTTCCTTATTTTGAGCAGCAATAAGCACCTTGGAATTGGAGGGATTTGCAAGAGCAACTTTATTGCCACTGCGAGTCACCTGGTGATGAGTAGGATCCTCTTATGGGAAAAGAGTAAATAACTGGGAGCAATGATCAAGTGACAACTTTTAATGAGGCAATATCCTTCTAACTTCATCTTTTAAAATCTCTCCTGATTCTTTATTCTTAGGATGATTTACTGATTGAGGTCTCTGAGAAGTACAGATTACATCTGAATCTTCCAGAATCTGTGGATACTGAAATGACGACAGCAAAATTTATCAAAGAGAAAGCTACATTAATTGTCACAATGCCATTGGCGTGAGTTAAGCACACCATGACTGGTTTTCAGTGCTGAAGTCACATGAATTACAGGATCATCATTTTGGGTGAAGAAGTAGTGATTTATCTTTTAATACCAGATTCAGATTTTCTGAGATCCTTTTGATGTAATGAGATTTTCTCATCGCTGTTATATTTTTTTAAATCTCACTCGACATCAAGCAGAAACTACTAAAAACAATATTGCCATGACATATTTGAACATATTTGTAATAATCTTAAAAACTATTATTTGGCAAAATTCTGTTTGTTTCTAAGTAATGTGAGAATTCTCAGTTTACTGGTTGATAAAAATTTCTGTCTCTGGTAAACTGTTAATCAGGAATAAATCCCAGAGTGTGCAAGAGTTATTGCCAAGATTGGAAAGTTTCCTCCAGCAATAAAGATACAGGGCCAATGTATTAATATGCAAACCTGTACTTCTCTGAACCTCTACGGCGCCTCTACAGCAGCGGTGGCAGGAATCCAAGGCAGACCTTCTGTGTTGTATGGACTCACCAGTGGGCTGCATACAGGGATGCAGTTACAGGGATTAGGTCTTACTGCCATGATGCAGGATATATCCAAGTCTAAGAAAAAGGAGTTTACTTTGGGACAAGTGCCTTTTTAAGAGAATTTAAATATACAGACATGAGGTACTTTTCAACTCCCATTCATGTCAGATAGGTTGTTCAATAGAAAAGTAACAACTTTCCTTTATATCCCAAATAAGCAATGTTCACATCAAACCTTAAACATCCCTTGTCTTTTTCTACATACAAAACAGCTTCCTTGAAATTCTAGTTCAAGATCTTAAAGTCATTTAAAAATTTTAACTCTAGAAACTAACGTTATATGTGCAAGAGAAATAATTGATGTGTGACATTTAAAAACATGTACTTTTCTTAAAACTGGCCTGGACTTGAATTCTTCTAGCAATAGGATTTATCATCTGAAACTTTTGTGACCTAAAATTAACAAACTATCATATTCTCATCCTTCAAAACACTTGGAATGCTTTCACCTTCTTTTACAAAACCACTTTGAAAGCACACATCCTACACACTCCCGGCTGCACAGAACTGGCTAAATCACTGCTCTTGCTCTTAGCACTTTTGTGTTATCAGCAGCTGTGTGTGTAACTCATCACTAAAATGTTATCAGGGTTTAACATGCTTACTGTTAAAATGTTAAATTACATCCTAGTTATTTTCTAAAAATATCACTTATCTCAGTGGATTTTTTATTCATCAACACACATTCACCTCCTCCTCTCAAAAATCAAAACTTTGCCAAGGAAGAACGTTATCAACTGTGTGATAGTTTAAATTTGGATCTTACCAAGATTTTTTTCCTTAAAACTGGAAATTGGGATGAGCATTATCCTAGCTTTAGAGACCAAATTTTTCTGCAAACTTGGTTTCAGAACGATGATCTGTAATGAAAAGTCCCCACGTGTCCCAGGGTTGCCCTCAGGAGGTGCTGAGTGTGCACTGTGACACACCTGTCGCCTCCCACGTGCGTTGCCTCTTGCAGACAGCACCTTGGGGTACCATGACTTGACTCAAGGCACAGGGTGGAAGGAAAACATCTAACAAAGCCAGGACACGCTTCCATCCTGCTGTTACCACACCCCAACACAAGGTGCTTCAGTAACTCCTTGAGCTTAGTGTCCTACTAAATGTAGTCCTTATTTTACAAATTCTACAAACTCAAAACGTATGTGTTAAGGGCTAATGCACACATAGCTGTTCATAGTCTTAATCATTTAATATGAAAAATAATTACCAACAGATCAAAAATTAGACCAGACACACTGAAACAGTTTACAACTGATTTTTAAACAATGTAATCTGAACCAAAAACACTATCTCTAACTTTTATTTCACTCTGATAAGAGAAATAGACCCAATCCAGATTTAGATTATAGCTCAGATTAACTTTTAACTCAAAGTAATTTTTCTTGGAAGGCAACCTTTTCATTTTCTTTCAGGGGAACAACAGATCCATAGCATTAGTGAAAAATGAAGTATCTTTGAAGTTTAATTTTTTTTAACCATATGTGGCTCATACTGACGATGGTCCCTTGTGATAAACTTATACTTCTGCATAATCTTCAGTTCACACTAAATCACTATTTACTGAAAAGGCAGATTAACGTATTGGGTTGTGTTCATAATAATACAGCAAGGGACATATCTGTGAATATGGGGAGTGCGATCTGTGCACCATGTAGCGATGAACATTTGGCAATAGATTCAGCACTGGAAAGACCTGAATTTCAGGGGATAGCTCCACACTTTACATACGTGACAGGGGGTAGCACTGGTCAGATTTATTCTAGTCATACACAATTCCAAATATTAAAGCATATCAACAGGAAGCCTAGAATAGTGATAATGTTCCCAATTCATTTTATTATCCTAAATATCATCTCCTCCTTCCCCCAAAGGTCAATTGTAACAAAATGGAAAAAAAGGTTTAGGCTGAAAAGGTAGCAAGCAACATAAATAATGTTTTTGTCTCCACAGGGTTTTAGGGCATTCTTATTTTACATGACACAGCTCTGGGATAGGAAAACACAGAACACCTTTTTGAACACACCGAACATTGTTTACTTTACCCAAGTAGAAATGACCCTTGGAGTCCATCACCATCTTTCAGCACTCCAAACTGTCCACCCACTCACCTCCCGCCCTTCCTCTTCTCAGACAGGACTTGGTGAGAAATGAACTTTGGCACATACCTCACTAGGAAACATATTTTACATATATACACTTATTCCATAGTTAACTAATACAGTTTGCCAACGTTATTTGAATAGTAAATTCTGGTAATTAAGTTCACTTGCATATATCAACCAATTAATCTTGGAAGAAAAATTCTATTTTCATAATTTGTTAGATTTTATAAAATAAGCAATTTTTAAAAATTTGGAGGTGATTGTCAAATTCTCCTCTCAGAATTACACATTTTTATTTAAATAAATACCCACACAAATTTTCATTTATAGCAAGTAGCTGGTTTATATTTATATCTTCATCTCAAGAGGGTAAAACCACCATATGGGATTCATAGAAAAACAAAGAACATTTGGTTGAATAAGTCTAAGAAAATGTTGACTTTTAAAGTTTCACTTATTTTCCCTGGAATTCTAACCCTTTCCATCCATGATAAACCAAGATTGTGTAACAAAAAATTTAAATTAGAATTAAATTCTAAAACCAAGCTTCAAGTGAAACTAATTTTCTTAACTTCTGTTTTCCTCAAATCTAAGCAAAACATTTGAGGCAATTAAGTTTCAAAACCTCAAGATTTTATCCAGGTTACTTTTATGTAAGTGTCTCAACAGGGAGCCACAATTCTACGTCTACATTTCCCAGTGGAAATACCCATCACCAAAGGGAGAGGCCACAGGTCCCTTAGCTGGGTGTAATTGACATTTTAAAAAATTCAGTGATGCCCATTACAAATAACTTATCTGGACGACTCAAAAGTAACTGGTTAACTTTAAAATAAAAAGAACCACCTGTTTCATAACATATTTATATCTTTACAAGAATGAACCAATGTGACTTGAGAAAGTAGAAATTCTTGAGTTAATTATAACAACATGGTGATAGGTTTTTCAAGGTACTTTCTAAACTCAGCAAGCCATTGGGCTCCAACAGCCCCGTCTACCACCCGATGATCGCAGCTGAGTGTGACGGACATCATGTGAGCCACATCGAATCTAGAAAAAGATAGAAACATTATTAGGTATTCTGGAAGCAACCACTAGACTGGTCGGTAACCAGCCCAAATGCCGACTCCTGCCCTGTAAGATCCCAACCAGGTAACATCATTTTCCACCCACCCTCACGTCCTGTAACCTCCAGCTCAAACTAATAGCTTGAAGGAATGGACCAAACAGCCATCTGGAGCACAAGCCTACTGTAACCATAGCCCACAGGCCAAACCTCACAAAAGGCAGGTTTACTGGAACTAATTTATGTATTGCCTTAGCCTGCTGTCATACTATAATGGCGGAGTGTGTGCGCCAGAGGCCATGTGACCCAGAAAGCCTGAAGTATTTATTATCCAGCTCTTAAACAGTAAGCTGACCCCTGACCTAGAGTAAATAAAGGCTTCCCGTCTCAAAGGGGGACTAACTGCATTTAGTAAGAGTCACTGCCCTGAGAAACTTTTCTATACTTATGTCTGATTCTACCTGAAGTTCCAAATGCCATGCCATAGTTACGAAACTGAGACTCAAAAACAGCTACAGTGTAAAGGAAGTGAGCAGGCAGCGTCCTCTCCACTTCGGCACTAACCCTTTTTCACTGTCTGCTGGAACCAGTCTGTCCTCTGAGGCACCAACTGCCAAAATACATGCCTGGGGTGGGTTAATAATAGCAGAGAAGTTCTTAATTCCAAACATGCCTAAATTGGAGATTGTAAAAGTGCCACCCTAGAGAAACAAAAATTAAACAACACAGATCAGAAAAAAGAAGGGTTTTGTGAAAAGACCTTAAGAAAAACTTTTACCTGAGGCGAGGCCTCTGAGTGCTCTGAGAGGAAGAGGGGGGAGGGACGACTATGCTGGCTGACCCCAGGGACCATTCAAACTGCGTGCACACATCAAAATACTGCTTTCTATACCTTAAATATATCCAGTTCCTGTTTGCTAATTACACATCAATAAGGCTCACTGACAAGAGTAAAAAAAGGCCTGAGTGTCTCAGTTTCCTGAAAATATACAACCATTTCAACATGAACAAGGCCGTTGTGTGGCTTTTGCAAATCATTGGAAATGTCTTATTTTCAGCTTTTGATGGGTTACTGCATTTTTATTTTGGGGACCTTGGGTCAGGACACAAGGTAGGAAATCAAAAGGCGGAAAATGTAGTTAGAGCCTAGTGCCGAGCTCAAAAAACAACTTAATTCTTAATATTCGAAGGTAAGTAGTAACACCTTACCTGGAACTCCTGTGGCTGTAGCTTACCCTCTCGTGCTCTGGTTGCTAAGGAAACGACATCGTTAGCAATGGTTTCCAGCCCTTTGACATGTGCGTTAAACACAATGGGCGTGATGAGTCCGGCAGGGGTGCTGACGGCCACGCTGATATCTACAACGTGATTTCTAGTTAAAAAGAAACAAGAAAAATCTCAGCAATCAACACTGTGGGTCAGCAGCTTCCATGTCAAGTCATGCGAGAAGATGGACATTTACTTCAGTCTATGGGGCTATTCAGCCAGATAGGGATCCTTCCTGGTTTTTGCACTGCTGCGCCTGCTCCCTGGTATGTGCTTCTTAAAGATGGATAAGCTGTGTCATCCGCTGGTCACTGTGCACTAAGTCCTCCCCCACCGCATCTGCCTTGACTATTCATGGCATAGGTGGAAAACAAAGGTTGGCATTCATTGAGCATTACACAGAACTCCTTGGACTTTGAGACCCAGTGGATGGGCTGGAGGTGAGTCTGCAAGGTGACCTTGGAGGGAAAGGGCTACACTGGGAGAAACCGCAGGTGGCAGTGGCTCAGAGCACAGAGGCAGGAATCCTAATCTTCAGCACATCATGGGTACCTTTGCATCTGGGTCCCTTTTCAGACTTTATTTTTTAATATAGAAAATACTCAAATACCAAAAAAACAAAAAACCAACTATACTGAAATTCAGTTATCAAATGAATTAAAGAACAAAATTGTGACATATGTATTTCTGTATTAACAAGATCTTGCAGCAGGTCCAATGTTATCTGAATAAATCTGCAACTGCAGTGTGGTAAGAGTAACAGCTGATTTTTACTGAGCAGCACAAGTTCTATTAATGCCGCCTCAATTTGTTCCACACATTTATAACAGGAGGAAATGCTAAATTTCACTTAGAAGTTAGTGGACAAGAATTTTTTTTTTTCCCCTATCCAAGGTCCCAAACTCCTAAGTTATATCCATAGTCCCCTTGGGGTCTGTGCAAGGGCCTCACTGAAGTGCCCTGCAATCAAGAAAAAGCTAAAAAAAAAAAAAGCTAAAACCTCCGTGAAGGAGTAACCCCAGCTCCTTCCCAGCACAAACTGTAGCAGATTATAGGTACCAAATCTCTCAACATGTCCAAGCTGGCCAGAGGTGGAAGGCCTTTGGCACTTGGAAATACAGGGACCTGCTCTGATTACTGTGTGTGACCCTTAGCAGCTCCCACAATGGGATCTGGCCAACATATCACAGAGCAAATACTACTTTCTTAGTCATCCTGCTACTACAAAATCATGTGCTTGATCATCTTCCTCCAGAGGGAGTAAGGATGGTGTTTCCTCTCCTGTTCTCCACCGATCCAACAACAGGACACACCCAACAAGTGCTGGCTGGCTGTAGGAATGAATGAAGGGCATCTGGTAAGAGTCAACGGACAGTTCACAGAATCTGCCCTGCTGCCTTGGTGTGTTCATCTGAGTAGGGTTTTCTTCAGTTGTCCTTAAAAGGTCAAACATGAATTTACCCTATGACCCAGCCAATTCCATTTCAAGGAATCGACCTTAGACAAATGGAAACATGTCAACACAAAGACTTGTACACAAATATTACCAACAGATACATCTGAAAGATACATTTATGTCTTAATCCCGGAACCTATCGATGTGACTTGTTTAGTAGAAAGGTCTCTGCAGGTCACTTAGGATCCTGAGATGACATCATCCTGGATCATCTGGGTGAGTCCTAAATCCAATGCAAAGTGTCCTTTTAAGAGGCAGAAGAGAAGACGGTACACTGAGGGGGTTACAGGAAGACAGAGGCAGGGCTGGAGTCAGGCAGCCCCAAGCCTAGGGCTGTCCGGAGCCAACGGAAGGCAGAAGATTCTCCCCCGGAGTCTGTGAGGGGCACAGCCCTGCCCACATACTGCTGTGGACTGCTGGCCTTCAAAGCCATAAGAGAATAAACTTTTGTTTTAAGTCCCAGTTCTGTGGTGGTTTGTAGTGGGCGCCCTACTGAACTGATACAGGCCAAAAGGAATAGGAAGGGCCTCGGAAGTTCTCCAACTGGGGTGTCCAAGGGAAAGGTCAGAATCCCGGTATCACCTAGTAAGTGTGACAAAGCTGAGAAGTGGTTCAGGGCTCTCCTGGGGTGTTTCACGAAGAATCAGTGGTGCGTGCACGAGGCAGGGGTCAGGGCGAGCCGGGCGAGCACTCGCGGAGCCACGGGGCTGAGCCGGCACACGGCACGGGCACGGGCGTCAGCACTGAACACTGATCTGCCCAAAATCTGTGCTGTAGTCAGGCAGGCAGGGTGGTGGGATGTGTCAGAGCTAAATCTTAACCTTCTTGATAGGAACTCATTCAATAAAGTAAAAGAAATGAAAAAGCCACAAAAGGCAACAGAAAAATGTTATCTAGAAATATGAAGGCAAATACTAGAAGAAGTAACAGCTTAGAAGTTGTGTTTGCTCCCTGGGAGTGGATCTGAGATTAAAGGTTGAGTGGGTCATAGTAGGCCATGGAGCAACCATTATTTTCATAAAAATTAAATTAATATAAAAGTCTACACAGTAGAAAAAGCTTAGGTTTATGGGTCAGAATCATGGTTCTAATCACAGTTCCTCTGCTCACTAACATACAACTCAGGGCAAGTTACTTAACTCACCGAGACTCAGTTTCTTCATCTGGAAAACGGGGTTGCAGGCACCTAACTCATCAGGTGGGCATCAGGGTTGAGAGCAACAAACACTGAGCCCCAAGCCAGTCACATGCCACTGACATATTAACAAACGCTGTTTGGGGTTTTGTTTTTAGCTCTTCCCCGAAGTTCATCAGCGCTAATGGTGAACACAAGCCATTTCCACACTGCTTTGCGAGGGTTGTTATTGACTTGATTATTCATTGTCTGCACGCTCACCTCCTTTCCTGAACTCACACAAAGCAGCAGCAGTCTTATCATAAATGGCTGTATGTTGTTATAAAACCATTTTGCTACGTACAATTCCTTTTCTCCTTAAGCTGTGAACTCCCACTTACTTGTCAGGTAACACGAGAGAACTGCTGATGGGTATGACCTTCTCGGCAGTGTTATACTTACTGTCTTATAACTGTGTCCAGCCAAGAAGAATTTGCTTCAGGAACTTTTAAACATGCCAAAGCTGATGCTTTTATGATGAAGTCATTGACAGAAATTTTGCCTCTCCCTTCTAACATCTGCAAAGACAAGAAACCATTGTAGTTTCGTAAATTCTCTTCCCAAAGACTGGAATATATAAACTTGGGCTGGGGAGTAATACAAATGTCCTGAGGTACAAAGGATGGAATGAAACCCAAAGTCGGTTCTCCTATCTTTTTAAATAGAGGCTTCACAGCTGTAAGTTTCCTTCTAAACTCTGCTTTAGCTACATCCCGTAAGTTACAGTACGTTCTATCTTCATTTTCAGTTATCTCAACAAACCAAAAGTTGGTTCTTTGAAAAAAATCAACAAAATGATGATCATTTAGCCAGACTGACAAAGGAAAAGAAGGCTTCAAATTCCTAACATAAGAAATGTAGTGGTGGACATTAGTATCCACTTCCCAGAAATAAAAGGGACTTTGGGTAATACCATGAAGGACCATATGCCAACAAATCAGTAACCTAGAAAGACACAAACTAACAAAACTGAATAAAAAATAAACAGAACCTATGAACAGATCTGAAACTACTAGAGATATTAAATCAGCAACTTAAACATTACCCACATAGTAAAGTCTAGATCCAGATGGCTTTATTTGTGAATTCTACCAAACAGTTAAAGAATATCAATTCTTCACAAACTCTTCCAAAAATACTGAAGAGGTGGGAACACATCCCACTCATTCTATTCTGACGCCAGTATTAGCCTAATAACAAAACCAGACCAAGATACCACAATAAAAGAGAAAAACCCCCAAAAAACTATAGGGTGGTAACTCTTATAGATGCAAAAATCCTCAAAAAAAAAAAAACTCTACCAAACTGAATCCAGCAATATATGAAAAGAATTACTCACCACGACCAGAAGGGATTTGTACTAGGAATGCAAGGTGGTTGTTAACAACCAAAAATCAATTAATGTAATAATTAATGTCCTAAAAGAATATAAGCCAAAACTGCATGGCCATCTCAGTAGACACAGAAAAAGTATCTCACAAAATTTAACACCCCTTTATGAGAAGAACACTTAACAAATATCCTCAACCTGAGGATAGAATAGATCTCTGAAAACTTCACAGTGATCAGACCTCAGTGATGAAAGATTTATTTCCCCCTAAGATGAAGAACAGGAAAGGATGCCCATGCTGGCCACTTCAACACTGTCCTGGACATGCTAGACAGAGAAGTCAGGCCAGAAATGGAAGTAAAAGCCATCCAGATTAGAAAGACAAAAGCAAGACTATCCTAATTTGCAGATGACATGATTTTGTACAGAGAAAATCCTAAGGAACACACTAAAAAAATTAAGTTGCAGGACACAAAAGCAACTGCACAAGAACAATAAACAATCTGTAGTATCAGAAAGAATAAAATACCAAGGAATAAATTTAACAAATGAAGTGCAAAAACTTACACTCTAAAAGTCATAAGAATTGTTGAAAGAATGTAAAGAAATAAGTAAATGGCAAGACATCCCGTGTTTGTGGAGACAGCAACACTTAATACTATTAAGATGCCAGCACTTCCCAAATTGATCCACAGATTCAATGAAATCACTATCCCTATAGAAAATATACAAAACAGGCAAATGTCTAAATCAGAAAGCAGATTAGTGGCTGTCTGGGGCTGCGGAGGATGGGAAGATTGGGGTGAGGGTCATTGCAAAGGGGTGCCTGGTTTCATTTTGGGGTGATGAAAATGTTCTAAAATTTATTGTGGTTGCAATCCCTATCAAAATACCAATGACATTTTCCACAGAACTAGAGCAAATTATCCTAAAATTTATATGGAACTCCAAAAAAAACACCAAATAGCTAAAGCAATCTTAAGAATGATGAAAAATGCTGTATCACACTCCCTGCTTTTAAACTATCCTACAAAGCTACAGCAACCAAAACAGTATGCTGCTGGCACAGAAACAGACACATCACAGGTCAGCGGAACAGAGTAGAGCGCCTAGAAATAAACCCATACTTACATGGTCGGCTGACACATGACAAAGGAGGCAAGAATGTGCCATAAGATATATTAAGATGTACTTACAAGAGACTCTTCAATAAACGGCGTTGGCTATATGACAACTTTTGGAATTGGATCACTGTCTTACACAAAAATAAATTCAAAATGGATTAAAGGCCTAATTAAAGACCTGAAACCATTAAACTCCCAGAAGAAAACATAGGTAGTAAATGCTCAAATATCAGCATGAGTAACTTTTTCTGGATATGTCTTCCCAGACCAGAGAAACAAAAGCAAAAATAAACAAGTGGGACTGCATCAAACTAAAAAGTTTCTGCACAGCACAGGAAACCATCAACAAAATGAAAAGGAAACCTGAATAAGAGAAGATTTTTGTAAATGATATATCTGATAAGGGGCTAATATCCAAAATACATAAAGAACTCATACAACTCAACATCAAAAAACAGTAATAATCTGATTTTAAAATGGATGGAATCCTGAATAGACATTTTTTCAAAGACATACAGATAGCCAAGAGACATAAAAAGATGCTCCACATCGCTCATCATACAAGGGACATGCAAATCAAAACTACAATGAGATTATCACCTCACACCTGTCAGAATGGCCACTATCCAAAAGACAAGAAATAACAAGTGTTGGAGAAGACACGGCGTAAAGAAAAACCTTATACACTGCTGGTGGGATTGCAAATTGAAAACAAGCTACTAGAGAAAAGAGTATGGAGGTTTCTCAAGAAACTGAATATAGACTACCATGGAACCCACTAGTTCCACTTCTGGGTATTTACCCAAAGGAAAAAAAAATCACCAATGCAAAAAGATATGTGCACCCCTATGTTTATTGCATTATTTACAACAGCCAAGATATGGAAGCAACCTAAGTGTCCATCAATAGATGAACTGATAAAACAACAGAATATTACTTCAGCCGTAAGAAAGAATGAAATCCTGCCATTTATGACAACATGGATGGATCTAGAGAGTATACCATGCTAAGTGAAATAGGCCAGGAGGAGAAAGACAGACACCCATATGATTTCACTTATATGTGGAATCTAAAAAACAAACGAATAAAACAGAAACAGAAAAATTACAATCTACCGTGTGATGCTCATACAACTGAATATACTAAAAGCCACCGAACTGTAAACTTTAAATGAGTGAATGGTATGCAAATTACATCTAAATTAAATGGTTTAAAAGAATTGAACAAAATAATCCCCTGGACATATATTTTTTATGCCTAATTTCCAAATAAATTAATTCAAAATAGTTTAAGTATGCCATCATCTTTAACCCCTGTAGCACATACAGATCTCTGCTGATGCTTCATTGCTTTACCCACTCACTCACTCATTCGTGCCTCTAGTATTGAGTCTGCTCTGTGCTGGGCATATGACTCTGAAGCCCTGGGTATAAAGCACTGAAAAGAACGGGTAAAAATTCTACTCTAGGGAGCAAAGGTTCTAAAAGGGGTGGGTAGATAATAAGTAAGTGAAACATGTAGTTTGTTAGTTAGTGTTAAGTGCTAAGGAGAAAAATAAAGGAAGGCGGAAAACTACAGAGAGAATTCACTAGTCACCCCACTCCTCTTCCCTTAATTTTAGAATAAAGTGACCAGAGAAGGCGACACTAAGTCAAACCCTTAATTTGGTGAAGGAGGAAGCCAGGTGGATACCAGGAGAAGAGTGCTCCACACAGAGGGGGTGGCAAGTGCCGAAGGCCCTCAGCAGGAGCACACCGCAGAGTCTGTAGGACTAGCTAGGCAGCGGCTGCGTGCGTGCAGCCGAGGAAGCGATGGGAAGCGGGAGGGAGGAGGTCGGGGACGGAGCGAGGGCCTGTGTGCCTGGAGCGTCTTTCACATCCCTCCCTTCTGCTCCGCTCTTAGTGCAGCCCTGGTTCGGACCCTCATCACCGTCGTGTCGTGCTGCTGTTGTGAGCTTTGCCAGGATATATTTATCAGACTGACCTTTGTTGAACTACTGTTACCATTATGTTTTTTACTGGTTTCTTATTTAACTAATCAAATCCAAATTCTTCTGCTTATACATTAAGGTCTTCTCTAAACCAGCAACTGTACATACACTCCAGAAAAGATAATCTACTTCATACATACACTGTACTTATTTCCTTTTGATGCACTTTACCTTTATATGCTATCATTACAATGGACTTTCTCCAAGTTCCCTCCAATCCAAACCCTTCCTGCTCTCCACGGCTCAAACAAGTCCTTCTAAGCCGCTGTGAGGCCCCCAACCACTTGCACCGATCTCCCCCTCCTCTCAACTCCTGCAACGTTTAACCTGCACAATGTGACTCAGCAGACAAGGGTGTTACTATAAAGAGACTGATTCAGAATGAATATTTTTATTTTAATAAGTGGCCTCCTCTGTTTCACATGCATCATTTCCTCACTATCTCATTTCGATCTTGCTCGTGGAGGAGGAGGACTACCCCGTTATGCTGTGTTCTCGAAGGTGCCTTATGCTGGACACTAAGTGGGGGCTTGTAAACAAAAGTAAATACAGGTGCTTACCTACCGTAAGAGACTCAAGTGGTCGCACAGAATCGTAGTGATGCTGCTAGGCTAAAACGGATCCACAGCAAAGTCAACTTTAAATGATAAACTTTAATCAAGGGTTAGAAAATGAAAATTCTCCAGGACATTCTTGGCAAGTTAAAATTAAGATGACACCAATTTTCCATCACCAACTGGTATTATAACAAAAAACATGGACAAAATGTAAATGTTTAATGGGGAAAAACATTTTTAGATTTAGAGTTGGAATTTCCAGACCTTTTACCTTATTAAGTTCTTTCCGTACCAACAAAACTTCTCCCATATTTACATCAATAGAAAGGTAATAATGAGGTATGGTTTGCTTAGATTGCATTAACCGCTGTGCAATAACCTGAAATCAAAGAGATCCAAAAGTCAATCATCTTGAGTTAAGACCTCACCTAATTCAGAGCTCTGCTGTCCCTCCCCTGCTCCCTGGTGACACTTATCCAGGCACAATTAGAGCTGGAAGACCAAGGACCGACCAGAACACAGCCCTTTCTAATAGTGTTTAGTCAGGACATGTGTCTGCTTATCCTAAGTATTCAACCGGCCAAACCACGTATCTTAATCATCAAAGATCCCCAACTAAAAGTGTGTTAGTGTTTCAAAGTACAGAGGCAGTTAAACAACCAAGTAAAGGTGTCCGGAGCAGCTCTGGCTCCAGATTTATGGAAATACTCTTACTCGACGGATGTTGCTGACTGGGGTATCTGTGAAGACACCTGTAGGAACCGGTACCACTCCTGGGCCTGGGGAAGCCACGGCAGCTGCTGGAGCCTATGGGGGGTGAAAAAGCTCTTAGTAAATGTGGCTTAGTCTTAGCAAAAACAACCGGGGACAAATGCCAGTGACTCTCTGACCAATGGCAAAGAAAAAATTAAAAGGCTTATAGAAAAACAGTATTTTCTATCTCAGAGAAGCAAAAAAGACTTAGATTTGGATCCTCCTTGTTTAAGAGTTTTGTTTTTAATTACTATACTTAGCATTCTGCAATCATGTTTTAAGTGTCATTATTCTTCAAGCCAGAGACTATTCAATAATTTTATGTCAAAATAATTGTTTTTGCAAAACTGTTTTCAAGAAAAGCAAAGCATTCTTAAACTGAAAGGATTAAGAGATAAACAAGATAGTTCATTTTCTTGAATAGCACTAAGAAGAAACAATGACAAATTTTTCATTTTAAAGCAAACATCTAAATAACTAAATCATTTTCCTTTCAGCTAATTATCTTAGCACCTTAACCAATCAAACAGAAGATGACTTAATCTCTGTGTTAACCCTAGTTAACACTTAAACCCTAGTCAACCCAACTGGTAAACATGCTTTTAAAAATAGGGCCTGAATGAGAAGAGAGGATACATTAGGAAACTAGAGTATCAATACTCAGGAAAACACACAATAATTTGGAATTCACATTAATGGAGCATATCATCTTTGCTTCTGTATATGAATGACAGCACATTTCTATCTATAGACGGCTAGCCAGTGAAATTAGACAAAAGAAAACACAGTTCTGGTCAAGCTATTTCATTCATAAGTAATGCACCAAAGGATCTAACAGGCTGGACAAGACACTTTGCAGGGACAAACTGCAAAAACAAAACAAAAAAAAAGCCAAATGAAACTCACAGGAGCAGCTTTAGAAGGCACAAAAGAGTCTATGTCCTTCTTAATGATTCTGCCTTCTGGTCCTGTCCCTGGAAGAAACACAAATATCATATACCACTGATTCCTCAAGTTCTAAGGCTCTCTACCAGAAACCCTCTGAAGGGACCCCTACCTTAACCCTGCCCCAAAAAGTTCTCCCTGAAAATACCAGCTTTTGTCAACTGCTAACTCCCCGAGTTCTCCTGCTTGTTTACAATAGTGGCTCTTTCCTTAACCAGAGCAAATAAAGTTTCTCTCCTTTAGAGTTTTACCTAAGTAAGGTAACACCTGGTTTCTCCATCTCTTTTACTATTAAATTGGGAAATACTGGAATAATACTGAGTATAACTTATACTACTAAAGGGAAATCTAGCTACTGCCCCTGGTTAGCTCCAAGACTCCTTCCTGAGCCCTTGAAACAAATCTCATTTGGGATCATAACAAATTCCCTTTGTACAGAGTCAACAGGTACAGTAACTGTTGGGACAAACCAGGTAAGTCAATTTCACCCCAAACAGGGTGATACTCAGTCACAATCATCTCCTCTTTAGAATCTTTCCTCCTTTAAGGGATCACAGCCTCCCCCCCGCAGCGAGGCACCCAACGGGCCTGTGACAGACTGTGAGGGAGACAGGTGCAGCGTCAGTGAGGAAACACCCTCAAAGTTCACTCAAAAGGCTTGATTTTGTTTTCATTCAATAGCCTTCCTCCTCCCATTCACAGCCTCCTAGGTTTAACTGGGGACCCAAAGATGATCCTGAACCTCTCCTTCTAGGGAGACCCAGAATTTAGTTGCCCAAGTACCTTCTACACTGCTCCCGCTTCTAGAAAACATTTGGGCAACTGACTCAGCTTCCCCCAGGGCAGACTTTTCAAAGGCTTCTCGCCGTGTGCTGTTTGTCCCCACGCTTTCCCTCCAGTATGAAAAATGAGTTGGCTGGGATCGTTCACCCTCACCAGGAGCTCCAGAACAGGGGCAGCGGGACTTCTATCAGACTCCCCTCCAAACGAGATGGAGGCACACCCCCCTTACCATCGAGGGCTGACTGGACACTGCAGAGCCTTCTGCCTTCTGCCTTCAGCCACCCACAGGGGTTTCCTGACTATAAGGGGTTTAAATCTGTGCTCCTTCTGCCTATCTCCCCAAGAAGGCACAGGAAGCCACCATAAAGCAGGGGAGAACGTTCACCAGGAGAGAAAAATGTAGGGCTATTGTCAGACATCAACTGGATAGATGATTACAGTCACTTAATTTGACCTGGTCTCCATTCTCATCAGTAGGACAGAGATCAAAACACCAGCTTCTGCCCAGGAATGTTGTGAGGATGAAACGGGGTGGCGATAGCATAGTGCCTTGCATCAGAGGAACAGAAAACGTACACTGGCGCCTGGACACAAATCAAACCCAGCCCATCAGGGCCGCAGCTCTGAAACAGTTTCTCCTCAGATGATCACACTTTGGCCAAAGGTGCTAATAATCTGTCTGTCCAGGGAGGGACAACCAGCACCAATGATGTCATCAGCCCCTGACACTCCCATAAAAGTGACAACTCTTGGACCATAGGTTCTGAAGAGCTTCTGGGTTGGAGAACACATCATGTGGTACCCACAGCGGGCACGGCAGCGCACACCCACCTCCGCACAACGGCCTACCTGGTCCTATGCAGCTCTTCTGTTTGGCTACCCCTTAGCTGGAAGCCCATCACAGTAAGTCAAGCGCTCTTCCAGGTTCCCTGGGCCGTGCTAGTGAACGGCCAAACCCGAGGGAGTCTTGGGAGCTCCTGGCTTGCAGCCAGCGGTTCAGTGCAGGTGGTCCCCAGGACCTGCCACCGACACCTACAGTGGGGGCGGGCTTCTGGGACGAGGCTCTTGAACAGGTGGCGTCTGATGCTAACCCTGGAGAGTCAGTGTCTTAAGAGGACTGAGTTGCTGGACATCTAGTTGATGTCAGAGAACTGACTGCTGGTGTGGAAAAAACACCTTTGGTGTCAGAATCCCTGATCCTCCCAGCTCACCTCTGTCACTCCCTCCCCCCACTGCGATCCCTTCAGCCTCACCAGGACCTCCGCTCGGCTGGCCCCTCCGCTCTCACCCGTCATCTCCCGCCTCCCCTTCCTCCTCGGCCGCTCACACTCTGTGCAGCACTGTCATCGCTCTGCCATGCTTGCTTCCCAACAGCAGCACAGGGCGGCTAACGAGGCTCTTGAACAGGTGGCGTCTGATGCTAACCCTGGAGAGTCAGTGTCTTAAGAGGACTGAGTTGCTGGACATCTAGTTGATGTCAGAGAACTGACTGCTGGTGTGGAAAAAACACCTTTGGTGTCAGAATCCCTGATCCTCCCAGCTCACCTCTGTCACTCCCTCCCCCCACTGCGATCCCTTCAGCCTCACCAGGACCTCCGCTCGGCTGGCCCCTCCGCTCTCACCCGTCATCTCCCGCCTCCCCTTCCTCCTCGGCCGCTCACACTCTGTGCAGCACTGTCATCGCTCTGCCATGCTTGCTTCCCAACAGCAGCACAGGGCGGCTCGGCGCGCCGGGGAAAGGACACACACCTGCTGGCTGACTGCGCCGACTCGGAGCCACAGACCCAAACCGGACACAGAGACCTCCCAAACCCTGAATCACGTTCCCCTTGAACTCGCCTTCCCGTCTCTGGGATCAGCCCCGCCCATTTCTCCGGCCTCGCACACTCAGCTCTCCAGCTGGTTGCCTCACTTCATACTCTCTGGAGCGGCCAGAGACGAACTTTCCTCATCTTCTACCAGCAAACCTAAAAACCCATCCCGTATTTTCTTCTTCCCTGTAAAAACAGACAAAACGTCCCTAATTCCTACCCAAGGCCAATCCCATCCCTTCTTATGTTCTCAGATACTTCGTTCCCTGCCAGATCTTCCTGTCCTGCCCCGTGTTCTGCATCATCAACTGGTCCCTTCCCATCAGGCCACTGGGTCTCAGCCAGCACAGCGGTGTTCCCCGGGGACATCTGGTAATGTCCAAAGATATTTTTGGTTCTCACAAGTGGGGAATGCTACTACCATGGAGTGGATAGAAACCAAAGATGCTGCTAAATATCCCATAACGCAGAGGACACCTTCCACCCCTAAAATATCACCTGGTCACGTAGCCAACAGTGCCACAGCCGAGACTGCACTCAGACCCCTCCTGCTATAGCCTTTCCAAACGCTCTCTCGAACCCATATCCTCCTGAAGCTGCACCTCTATCTCTATGCCTTCCTGCACTGTTCACATCCGACCTACCCAGACGCCCCCACTGCACCGCCCTTCTTCTAAAACGACTGCTACCCCACATCCAGTCCCTGAATAAGGCCTGCTGATTCTATGGCAAATGCATCTCGAAGCTGGTTCTTCCACTTCCCACTCTCCCCACCCCGTCTAAGCCACCATCATCAGCTCAGCAACAGCATCATAGCAGGTGTCTTGGCTTTAAGACACATTTGCACAGAGCAACCAAATCATTTTTTAAAAATATGATCTGGCAATTCTTTCAACCTTCCAATGGCTTGCTACTATACTTTAATAAAATCCAAATTCTCCCGGGACCTGTGGAGTCCTGTGAGCCCTCCGTTTCCGACCTCGCCTCCCACAAGCAGACCCACGGCTCACGGTACTGCAGTAACACTGGCCTCCTTTAGGCTCCCCAACGTGCCAAGTTCTTTCTCCCTTCAGCCTGTGTCCCCCTGGCCTCTGCCCAAGATGCTTTTCCCCGTTTTCACACAGTCGGCTCACAGCTGACTCCTCTTATTTCAGGGCAGATCCGATGTCCCCGCATCCGAAAGACCTTCCCCAACGGCCTCCCTAAATGTGGCTGTATTCACTCTGCCGCTCACTAGGTGACCAGCTGGTTTCTTTCTCAGTATTCAAACTGTCTTACTTAGTAATAAGTTATGAACATAACAACTAATGGTTATGTATGCTTTCTATGTGCAGACACTATTTATCAACTTATTTAACCCTCACAACTATCAGGTATCACGTTTAAACACAAATGAAGAAACTGTGAGGTAAAAGCCACACACTAGTGTATGGCACGACTGGGCCGGAAACCAACCAGGCCACCAGGGCCCATCCTCTGGGGCCACGCACTCCCCGTCTGTTCACTTACTTCATTGTCAGTGATTCCAGCATCTGAAACCGGAAGCCTGTCTGTCTTACAAACACGTGTGGATGCGTAAACACTGATGAGTATTGTTTAAATAATAACAAATGGATCACCTAGCTCTAAATGAATGATAAAAATAGTGATTTTCCTACTTACATCTTTAGTAAGGTAGCCAGTGTTGCTAAATATCTGATAAATGGTTCCCCTTCACTTGTCTGAATTCTTCAGGATTTAATTAGTTATTAACCCAGTCTTTCCTCCCCTTAAAATTTATGGCAGCTGCCCTGCATTCTGCATTGCTATCTCTGGTTCACATATACATGAAGAATGGCAATATACTAGTGAAATAGGGTTAAGATGTTAAAAGGGTCTTGCATCATCACAAGAACCCTTAGGTCCAAAAAACTTACACCATTCTATTCTTATTTCTTTGGGGATTAGCTTGCCTTCTAACCACAGAACAACAGATTGCAGACAGGACAACCAGCACTGAGGGCCCACAGCTGGCTGACTGGGTAAATAACCTGAATAATCAAGGATGGCAGAACACTAAAATAGAAGACAGCATGGCATAGTAGGAAGGGCACAGGCTTTAGAAATGAATCTAGGTTCAAATTGCAACTTTACTCCTTCTTAACAGGAAGGGAGATCCCTTAAGAGTCTATTTTCTTATGCAGAAAATAGGGAATGATAATCCATACATCAAAAAGTGTTGCGCAAGATGGAATGGCAAGATGGCGGCGTGAGTAGAGCAGCAGAAATCTCCTCCAGAAACCACATTTATCTATGAAAATATAACAAAGACAACTCTTCCTAAAATAGAGACCAGAGGACAC